TGTCTACCTTGATGATGTGGTGGTCTTCTCTGCCACGTACGAGCAGCACCTTCAGCACGTGCGCAGCATGCTGGAGGCTATCCAATCGGCGGACCTCACTCTAAAGCCACAGAAGTGCCACTTCGGCTATGACGAACAAAAATTTCTTGGACATGTAGTTAGCGCCGAAGGAGTCCGGCCCGATTCAGACAAGCTTGCCGCTGTTGCCGAATTACCAGCTCCTGTCGATAAAAAATCCGTCCGGTGCTTCCTTGGTTTGTGCGCCTACTATCGCCGGTTCATCTATGGCTTTTCACAGATAGCAGAACCTCTGACTCGTCTCACAAGGGACGACACGCCGTTTGTCTGGGAAAACGAGCAACAAGCAGCTTTTGATGAACCGCGACAGCGCATGCAATCAGCACCCGTTCTCGCTCATTTCGACGATGATGCTGACACGGAGGTCCATACTGACGCTAGTAACGTTGGGCTTGGTGCAGTGCTCGTTCAGCGTCATGAGGACATCGAAAGGGTGATAGCCTACGCAGCCGCTCTCTATCCCGTGCCGAGGCGAATTATTCCACTACGGAGAAAGAGTGCCTCGCAGTCGTGTGGGCAATCACCAAGTTTCGCCCGTACCTTTATGGTCGTCCCTTCAAGATAGTGACGGACCACCACGCCCTCTGCTGGTTGGCAAGCCTGCGACCCTTCAGGACGGCTAGCACGGTGGAGCTTGCGGCTGCAGGAATTTGACGTCACCATCGTCCATAAGTCCGGCCGTAAGCATGAAGACGCTGACACACTGTCACACGCACCCCTTCATGTCGTCAGTCAGGAAGCAGAGGAAGACGAAGGCTTCCTGGGCGCCATTAGCTCATCAGACTTGAGTAAACGGCAGTGGGATGACGCAGAGATTCGTCCGATCATCGATCATTTAGAGGGTCAGGACACAATCATACCACGTCATTTATTCCGCTCGTTGCCGTCGTTCCGCCTTCGAGATGGTGTGCTGTACAAGAAGAACGCTCGTTCGAACAACCGTGCCTACCTCCTGGTGGTTCCTCGAGACATGCGAGACGACGTCCTCTTCGCTTGCCATGACGAACCCACATCCGGTCATCCGGTCTACTCACGGACACTTGCCAGAGTGAGTGAAAGGTACTATTGGCCAGGACTTTCGACAAACGTCAAGAAGTACGTCAAGAGCTGTCGGGAATGTCAGCGCCGAAAGCAACCATCTGTTAAGCCAGCTGGTTTGCTTCAGCCCATTGAAGCACCTTGCACGCCATTCGACCTAGTCAGCATGGACATTCTCGGGCCATTTCCCCTGTCTGCGGACAGCAACAAATGGGTAATCGTCGCGACCGACTATTCGACATGCTACGCTGAGACGCAGGCGATCCCACGAGCCACGGCTTCTGAGGTAGCAAAATTTTTCATGCGCCACATTGTGTTACGACAAGGTGCTCCTTCCAGTGTAATAACGGACAGAGGGACGGCATTCATGGCGCAGCTTATGGATGAAGTTTTCAAACTGAGCAACACCAGACACCGAAGGACAACTGCGGACCACCCGCAAACCAACGGACTTACCGAGCGACTGAATAAGACCCTCGCAGACATGATCTCAATTTACATCGACGTACTGCACAAAACATGGGACCGGATCTTACCTTAGTGACCTTCGCGTATAATACCGCCGTGCAAGAGACCACGCGATTCACGCCATTTTGGCTTCTACGGCCGCAAGTGCAGACCATGCTAGGACTCTATGCTACCGTGTCAAGACGAAGACGAGTTGGCAACTGACGCCGAAGAATTCGCAGAGCGTGCTGAAGAAGCCCGGCAACTCGCGCGACTGCACATCGGCCAGCAACAGCAGGCAGACGCACGACGCTATAACAACCACCCCAGAGAAGTGTTTTACAACCCCGGAGTTCAAGTTTGGGTGTGGACGCCCGTCCGCCGCCATGGCCTTAGTGAAAAGTTACTGAGCCGGTACTTTGGCCCATATAAAGTGTTACGCTGCGTCAGTGACGTGAACTACGAAGTGGTTCCGGACTCAACACCCCATGCATGGAGCAGGACACGACTGAGGCTGGATGTCGTTCATGTGTTGCGCATGAAACCATTTATTGCGCGTTGCTCGTAACTTTTCCTTTACCGTACAGCATTCTTTGTGTTTTTGTTTATTTGTGTGAACTTGCTTTCTCGTCATTGACGTTTCTTATATTGGCATGCTCTTCAATTTTTACTTTCACTTTATCCGAATTTCCAATTTCTTTTTCACGTGCCTATGTAGTAGCATCGCGGTGATGCTATGTACTTTTCTTTCCTCTTTTTGGGACTTGTTTTTTTTTTTGGAAGAGGGCATAATGCCACCGGCACGTAGTGGGTCGACCGCAAGAGCGGCTCTCAATCTGGAGGAAAAAGATGATCGCGTGCTTTCTTCTCTGCTCGAGAGCCAGCCACGACTGGCGCATCGTCCTAGAGGTAGCTACTCGGTCATTCAATAAATCCCCCAGTACTTGTGACTCATCGTGACAATATGTCCTCCACAACGAAATTCTGTATCACCACAACAAGAAGCCTGATGGCCCGAAATTTCTGTTAGTTATTCCTCGACACCTCATGCCACCATTCTTCAACATCTGCATGACGCTCTGTCGGCAGGACACCTGGGATTTTCACGCACTTATCACCGCGCGCGACAACGGTTCTTTTGGCTTGGCCTGTATAAGTTTGTGCACTGCTATGTCGCTGCTTGCGAGCGCTGCCAGCGTCGCAAACATCTTGCTCACCGTACGGCTGGCCTGCTCCAACTTATCGACATTCCCCGGAACCATTTTTCTGCGTCGGCCTCGACTTGCTCGAACCTTTCCCAACGTCCGTGTCAGGCAACAAGTGGATCACTGTCGCAACTGACAATGTGACCAGATACGCTATAACTCGTGCCTTGCCAAGTAGCTGCGCTACAGACGTCGTAGACTTTCTACTGAATGACGTCATTCTGCGGCATGGGGCTCCGCGCCAGCTTATGACGGATCGTGGCCGCTGCTTCCTCGCAAAAGTTATCGACGAAATCCTCCGTAGCTGCTCTACCGAACATCACCTTACTACTGCCTACCATCACCAGACCAACGGTCCCACAGAGCACCTCTACCGAACTCTTACAGACATGTTGTCCATGTACGTGCTGATCACCGTGACTGGGACGCAATGCTCCCCTACGTTACGTTTGCGCACAATTGATCAAGTCATGACACCGCCGGCAATTCTTCGTTCTTTCTTCTGTACGGCCGCAACCCTGCGTTGCCATTCGACGCACTCCTTCTTTCTGATACTACCAAACCAACGGTGTATGCTCAGGACATTGCTTCTCGAGCCCGCGTCGCTCACCAAATCACGCACACTGGGCTCACTGCTTCTCAGGCCTCACAAGAAGCCCGCTACGATGACTGGCACCGCGACGTTGACTACCCTGCTGACTCACTCGTCCTACTTTGGACGCTGCATCGGCGTAAAGGCTTGTGCGAGAAGCTCCTTCCACGATACACCGGGCCCTACAAAGTTCTCCGCAAGGTCACCGACGTCGAATACTTCATCACTCCCGTTGAACCACACTCATCTTCTGCCACACCACCTACCGATGTTGTTCATGTGTCGCGACTAAAACGCTACTACACTGCCAGTCCTGATTGACTTAGCGGCGCCATGACGGCACTTTGTCCGCCGGGGGTAATGTTACGAGGCAGTTGGCATGGTTCCGCCGTTGTAGACGCATCGATGAAGAAGAAGCGGATTCGGCGCGCGAGATCCAGCAGCCCTGGGATGTCATACCTATACCTGTAAATATTGCAAATACACTGCTTTCTCTCTTTTGTGTATTTGTAATCCCCGTAAATATATCGTTGTTTTCAGAGGTTAAACTCCTGATAATATTATTAATAAATTTGTGTTCTTTTAGTTTTGTGTATGTACACTGCGCATCTATGTTAAATATCCCTTATTGTACGTTTTTATTTGCCCCTCCCCCACAATGAACAAATCCACAGGTAAATATTATATATAAACAAATATCGTGGTCGGATGCCACAGGAATGACGTAGGTGGTACTTTTTGCCTTGCGGCGGGTTTTATCACACTACAAAACGCTGGCTAGACCACAAGTGAACTGGCCACCCTTACTGAACTCATGAGTTCATCGATGCATTTCTTCTCGGCCATTTCGACTTCGCCCAAATCCCTAATAGCAAAGTTTGTGGGGATTTATTTGTCACAATATATAGTATCGTTGTTACTATATATATAGTATATTATACTATATATATATATATATATATATATATATATATATATATAGTATAATATATAGTATCGTTTATTAGTGACAATTTTGGAAGTGAGCTGAAGTATCTGCAACAATGTTTGAGATCGCACTTTTGAAACACCTATATTGAAGTGAAATTGCGTTCAAGTGCACAAATACTGTAAGAATCGAGTATAGGTACCTGGGCGTATTGGGGGCGTTGTTAGGGGTTAAATATCGGCATTTTCAATGTAGACGAAAATATTTGACGTCCGCCTACTTAGATTTAGATGCACGTTGAAGATCTCTAGGTGGTCTAAATTTCCGCAGCCCCCCATACGGCGTCTCTCATAACCAATCATGGTTTTGGGGCGTTAAATCACATAATGTCACAATCATTATTAATAACATTACTTCAATAATATATTATCAGTATTATTGCTCTCATTGCTAATAATATAACTGACAGGGCTGACGCAAAGAAAGACTTGTGAAGTGGCACAATGTTTCATGTCACGAAGCCACCTGTTCGCTACAACCGCTAATAAACAAATTCTAATTGCTTCAAACGTTTAGTAAACGCTGGAGTCAATGGCTTCTTGAGAGCGCTGGTTACTTAGTACACTTCAAGAGGCCTTGAGAATACCTTTACTGAGAGTGTGCGATACGCCATGCATCAGTGATAAAGGCATTATTTTCGTTTTCGCTTCAGGCTCCCGTGTGCAAGGATGGTGAAGTGTGCGCCTACGTCTTCCAGAACATCCACTGCTACGAGTGTCCTTGCTACTACTCTCACAGCGTCATGTGTTCGTATATTCTTCATCTCCCGCTTGTAATTACGATATCTTATGAGTTTTTGTGTGTCTATCAGCATCGGTCAAGTGCACAAAGTATTTAATCTGTCAAAACAAGCATGCAACGGCAAAACTAATATCAAGAACTCGTTGATTTCGTTGGTGCTGAGGTTAAGTGTAGTTCCATCTCCCAGAAAACAATGCCGGGCTTACACTTGCCACTAAAAACATTTTGCAGCGTCTCTCGAGGCAACTAAACCAGGTGTCAAGTAAAACTGCGCATCGCGAAAGTAAGATGTAGAGGCCATAAGATGGAATAAATGATATATAAGTGATTTAACACACAAATCTGGTGAGGGCAAACCCCGTATCTTATAATCGTGCTCCTTCAGTGAACTTTGTCTGAAACAGATGTAGCCGTATAGACAGCACCAGGGATTTCATTGAAATATTGATCAAAACCTACAAGAAAAATACTATTAGAAATAAAAAGAAAGCCCACGTGAGGATGTATACACCGATGAGCCGATATTCACATTTTTTCTTTGTTTTTGGATAATCCAGCCGTGATCCGTTACTTGAAAATAGAGTCGAGTGCAAACCCTGATATCATGTCTCAATAGCATACTGTATGATATCCTAATGACAAAGATAATGTAAATAGGCACTCGAACGATGTTCACTCGTGTGTCAACGATGCATGATTTAGGTTTATTGGCGCACAAGAAGGCGGTGCATCGTAATGAAACGAGATGAGAAGCCGACACGAGTGCAGCACGAAGTATACGGGTGTTTGTTGGTTTAAGCTTTTATTCGTCAACTTAATGACTTGTCTTTTACGGAATTAATGCTTTTAGTTTTATGACTAGTGAGTGATCACAAGTGAATAATTCTATCTCGATATGTTGAGTTAACCTGTTCTCACTCTTAAGAAATAACTCTGTCTGTTATTCAACATATTGTTTATTCGTCGCCTTATTATTCAAGTTTTTCTCTTTGTAGAGTTCATTTGTAGCCTTCATTATTTTGACTGAGGTCACGATGTGAAGGATTTGGTTTAGGAATGATGTTGACGCTCAGCTTTGAGAACATTGGAAATAACCTGACGCGTTCACCTAAGCTTTCTGTATAGCCATGCGCTCATTAATCTATTATGGCAGTGTTCGTTAATGTCAAAAGCTCGCACAAAGGCCTCAAACTGATGGTTGTTTTGGATCATGCAATGTCACAGCACATGGCGTACCTGCCTTAGGCTGGTGCACTGTGGGCGTTTATGTCCGTAAGTAACTCCACCTATGCTAGACTCTGTACCGCAGGACAGCGAATAATTTTAGCAACCCGGGTTTCTTAAAGCGCAGTGACATCCCACAGAAGGTGATGTATAAGATCTACACAGTTACAGTTGCCGCACATGGGTGAATCCACCGCGTCGTGCAGTGCTGTTCCCAATATGACCAACGTCGCAGGCCACTCAAGCGTGCCTTGATGCCACTTGAGCACTGACCTTTAGGTGAAGGAAAGATCTTCGGAACCTGTTCTCACAGCTCGTGAGGCAAGGAAAGCAGGTGATAACCTTATGTGGTTATTGATAACAAATGAACTGAGAGATCATCCGTGTATGCTGCACAGCACGTGTGGGTTGGGAAACGGTGTGCCCTGATGTCTCTCCTTTACCACCCTATAAGCCAGACGCTGGATTTTTAGCCATTAGAAATTGCGTTTTTGACACCAAAAGTAGGCAGGTTTACACAATTCTAGGCACCCACAATGGTAAATATACGCACAATAATTTTTACAAAAATTTAGGTTTTCGAACAACCACGTGCGCGACGTTCGTCTACGACAGGAATGCAAAAAAAATGCTTTAGTTTATGGTAACACAAAGGCCTGCATGGTTTAAAATAGCCACGCAATTGTTCCTCTTCCTGCACGCTTTGCAGCACATTCTCTCCTGTTGTTGTCCAGCACGATGAGTTAAGTGTCCAGCGTCGAATAAACATGCTCCTGGGTCACTTTCTTTTCGGTATGGCTGAGAAGCACAGCAGAGGAGCCAATAGCCAGACCGCTAAAAGGCCCAAAGGGTCATTTAGCCTCGCTTTGGTCGGGGGTCCTATGACGAAGGATCAGTTTCTCCCCTGTGAACACCCTCAAGTGTCTTTCACCACGCTTGAGCATTTCGAGCTGGCGAGTGAAATGTATTCACTGGGCGCTCACGATCACGTCTGCTGAGATGTGAGATAGTATACGTGCCCCAGGAAGAAGTGAATTGTCATACTGAACACAGCTTGCCCTTGATCTCAAAGGCGCGCCCTCCATCAAGTAGGAGGTGACGTACAACAAGAAGTGGTCCTTGGTACATTATAGTAGGAAGTGAGAGTGAGAGAACTATTCGAGGCGTAATGTGTTGGATGTGCAACCTGTTGCCTCAATAGAAAAGTAGAACTTGACAGAACTATGAAGACGTAAAAACGGAATCTTTACGCGCTTTGATTCTTATATTTACCTCCATTCGAGCATGTTGCGAGACTATGCTCCCTCCATTTTGTTTGCGTTCACGTTCTCACCGCTCCCGCGTCATGCCGGCGCCAGCCCTGACAGCACTTGGGGTCTCTTAGGCGCGTCGCCTCTTCGTGGCAAAGATACATGATGCATGCCAGCCGCTCCAAGCGTGTGCGCATAAAGGCATCTTTCCCGCAGAAACAGGCAGTACACTACAGGAAATGCGGAAACAATACAACGAACCTTGCGTGCACGACCTAGCTTGGGAATCTCGTGCGCACGCTATATACCCCTGCGTGCACATGACGTGTTGATGCGTCAGCGTCGTGCCATCGTCCGGCTTCAAGTTGCTCCAATAGCGTTGACGACAGGAAAACAATATGGCTTCCGACTGGCAGAGAGAGAGAAAAAAAAGAAGGCGGGGAGGTTAACCAGGGCTAAGCCCCAGTAGGCTACCCATCACTGGGGAAGGAGAGAGGGAAAGGAAAGTTATGTAGGAGGAGAAAAAAGTCACTAATTGCGCCGACGCGTAGCAGTCTCACGTTTCACATCACAAACGTTGGAACAGTACGGTGTTTTTGAGGAAACGCAACAGCGCTTTTCTTGGCTTTCGGGACTGGGATGACCAGCGCCATGGTCGCAATACCTTCGTTACAGTGAAATCCTTTCTGTCCAGCTGATTTGAAACACTGCGGAGCTGAAGCTTCTCGTTTGTGTATGCCGAGCAGTAATATATAAGGTGTTCAATAATCTTATCAACGGCGCAGTCGTTGCAGTCCGCACTGTCGGCCATCCTAATCTTATATGAGTAGGCTTTGGTGAAAACTACACCCAGACGCAGACGGTACAACACTGTACGTTCTTCCCTGGAAAGGCCAAAGGGGCGGGTGGCAAATGTTTAAAGCTTACCTGTGTGCATTATGCTTTCGCGGCTCTTAATGAACCAGTGAAAAAGTTCTTGTGGTACAAAGCTCTTCACTGGACTCGTCGCTCGTTCTCCTCTCCGAATTTCACTGTATACGCTTGGACGTGCTGCTATTCATGGTTGCAGGAATAGCTTCTTTCCTTTCGCTCTTTGCGCCAACCATTCGCGCCATGTCAGTGCAATAGGGTTAGGTGGACAGTGCGTCCCATTTCACTGCGGCTAGTGGTTGTTTTCGGCAAGTGTGTCAAACTAGAGAACTTGGTTGTTGCACTTTATAGAGTTCTGAAGCATCAATCTTGCGCAGCTACAAGAATTACGGTCTCAAAATGTACTCAAGTTTGAATAGGGCTCATATAGGCGCCGTTTTTCGGAAACAGGCTTTAATAGGCGCTTACAAACCTCTAGGCCGAATTTCCTAAAGTATCCATTTACAGGCAATATAAACGCAACTGTAAAAGCCTTCCTCAACTTCTAATTCATGCTAGTATATCAGAACGCCATAATGAGAAAGCAAGCAACCAAACAGGCATTTGCCTAAAATCCGGTCTCCAATTGTAATGCTTCCCATTTATTGAGTAGCACAGTGGGCATAGTCTAGTTAACCTCTCGGCCTTTTCTGTGTTCTCTTTTACTCTCCTCGCAGACGTAACAAAAGATCGTTTCTCCTACATTTAGGCGAAGCGTTATGACGCTACTACAAGAGCGTGAATCCTTGTTTGCTCACTGGCTTTCAACATGACACTTCTGCCACGTGCAGGTCTCAAGATCACCAAGCAACACAGAGCGTGTGGGCCGAACGCCATTGCCGAAGTCAGCGGTCACCGGAAATACAGTTGCGATGGCTGCAAGTCGGCCACTGCATGTTCTTACTCCGCCAACAATCAGTCCTGGACCCTGAAGTCACTTTCGATTTCCGTGATGAAGCGAATGAAAACATTCGTCCGCTTCTGGAATGTCTCCGATGTTGATATCGCCCATTGTACAAAGCCAAATAAACGTCACTATCTTCACTCAGGAGAACTATACTTTAGATGAGATTCAGGCTGATAACCTTGCTGCCGATTTAGCAAAATTTTGATCATTTAGAACTGACTGAAATAGTTAGAATATCCCAATTACATAAACTTGCCAGAAGCTATAGTTAGAAAATAGAAATATTGATCGGTTTATTTGTTCATTTATTCACAAAACCCCCTGTAAGCTTCCGAAGAAGTGTTGTGTGTGGGATGCGGACTACGCAATGTAAAGATAAGGTAAGTAGAAGCTCTTAAACCCTGTTATACATGCTAAGGTACATAAACCTATGAAATAACGTTATATAATTTTAGTGAGAGCAAACTTCACATACAACTAATAAACAAAATGCAGAGAACTCATTTGTTAGGGTACTAAAATGTACAATAGTTAGGGAACAGCATGTACAGGATTTGATGGCAGGCAGAAGCCAAAAAACTTGAAAATACCATGAGGCAATTTTGTGGTGTTCTAATCTAGAATAGGGGAGGTATCGGACACAACAATCAGAGGGAGCCACACGGGATTGTTCGGGGCTATTGTGATGGTGAAGACGTGAGAATAGTCGCGGAATATGCATAGAAAGCACGGAGGCCCCGTTTATCGATAGATAAATACAACACGGTTCCCGAATATGACGTATTGAATAGAAATTAGGCGCTTTGAGCCTAGAGAATTGAATCAGTCTGCTTTGCACCTGGCTTATCTCAATCCCGCGTCCAAGATCACCACCGACTGACTCAATCACCACTTAGCATCCATTCACGACATAACCACTATTAAATTGTTGAAGCCGTCCCACTCTGCAATTTCAAGCTATGAGAAACAATGTCTGTCGATATTGATGCTGAATGAATACTATAGTTTTTCATGCGTTGAAAAAGCATTTATGAATTCCCTCCACTCTCCTGTTTGCTGCTTCTTTGGTCTCGTTCTTTTGTTCGATCCCTCACTCATTCTAGATAATACTCGTACAAAGTACCACCCATGGTGACGAAACCACCCATTCATGCCGAAACATTATAAGACAATCAATGTTGAAATTATGAGAAAGGTCATTAAATATTTCTAGTGTTACTTGCAAGGCTAGGTTGAAAGCTAGGGAAAATTGGTTTATTGTGCAAAGAAAGAAAAACAGTGCTAAATTTTGAACGAACACAAAGGAACACCTGCCTTCTTTTGTGTTCATCTGAATTTCATTGCTGTTTTCTCATCTTTGGGGAATGTTAACGAGTTGGATAAGTTAGTGCGCCTGAAAACGCGTTTACAGGAGTAGTTGTGCAAACGGCAAGATGTTTGTGCCGGTTGGGAAAAGGGAAGGGCAGTCAAGTGCTTACAGGATTACGTGCTTACCATGTTTTACATTGTACAATTACAACATACACGTACACAGAGACGCGCAAGCACACACACACACACACACACACACAAACACACACACATACACAACACAAACACACACAAGCACACACGCACGCACGCACACAAACACACGTATGCCCACACGCAAACGCGCTCGAGTGGTTACTCACATGAATGGAAAAAAAAATGTCAGGCTGTTGCTGCAAATAAAAGCTCTGGCGTCGGGAAGCTTTAAATAAGTTTCGTAGTGTTTTGGAATGCATGAGCTATAATTTCTATACTGCCACCATAAAATTGCAATTTTGGATTCACTATTGACGGAGTGGCGTTTCAATGAAGTTTGAGAGCAGAGTGACGCCATGGGAAGTCAGCAACTGGCGACATATGGCGAATCTGCCATCTGATCGTAACCCCCCCATTGATTTCAGCAATTTAGGCTGCATGTAGGATAAGGAGGAGGAGGACGATGGAAAGAAATGAAAAGGTCAAGCAAACGAGCACACAGAGGTGAGCTCGCCAGCTCAGAAACTGTGTTGACTCGTCGTGAGAATGTCCATTGCTGTGGAGCTGGCTTTCAAATACTCAGCAACCAAAACTTTAAAATTAAAATATAATTTTTTGTACGTGTTGTTTGACTGCGGTGTGTGGACAGCGTTGACACTGCATGCTATGGAAACAAAAAAAAAGTCCCTTTTTTATGTTGCTTTCATATCGTGCAGTACTCATATAGGTACAGGCACCCGTCTTGTCGCGCATCGCCCTTCATACAAGAAAAAGCCTTATGTCATCATTCCTCAACAAATATTATGAACTAAAGCTGCTCCCAAGGGAAAGCACCGAAGGAATGTTGCGCAGGAATTAGTTCAGCGGAAGCGAGGGGCCAATGACGGACAGCCCTCGCGAACGAAGATAGCATTGATAATTGTGACTCAATTAAGCAGTCGAACTTACATTACTGGTTGAGGGAGAATGAAGGAAATCACAAGTACGAGTTGTGACTGTAAATTGTAACAATGAGTGATCAAATCAAAAGTCCCCGTTTCGCCACACGGGCGAAGCAATGAGTACCTTAGCAATAAATTCTAGTGCTGTACGAACTAATGTTTGGCGCTAACACCTTTGGCATCCACCTTTGCACAACTTGACAAAATTCTGAGGTAAACAATTTTCTGTGTATTGATTCAGTTCCAGTGAACTGAAGAGCGCAGTCCAGGGTCCCTAAGATGATCCCGGTAATGTGTCGAGCCTGTTGTAGTTTAGTTCAGTAGGAAAAGCGCCCGCGCGTTTGTTCTTAGCTTGAGCCACAATGGCAAGCGGCCCTCTCCGGCTTTCACTTGCACATAGACCGCACGACGCGGGAAACGACGTCATTGCCCTTGAACTTATCACTCCAAAAATAAATGCGCTGATGCACATGCGTTTATGTAATCAGTCCGGAAACAAGAGCAGAAAAAGTAGACTAGAGCAGCCAGTTTTTAATCTTTGCGTAGGCCAACTTCACATTCCCGCAATAACACTGGTTTGAATGGAGGTTATCAAGGCGAATGCCTTAAATGTCTTATCAAACACAAAAATTGAGTGGTGCGGAAACTGAGCATGAGGGCACCGAGGAATCATTGGTTAGGTCACCCCATGACGTTCTAAGGACGTCACAGATCACTGAAGTTTGTAAAATGATTATGATCTCGCCATCGCGTCCCAGTGGCACCTTGTCACGTAATGTCACTTGACGTCGTCATCATGCGACATCATAGCAGCATGGTTAAGGGTGGGCTGATCACGAATGCATCGCAAAACAAGGTAAGCTGCCGGCGATCCCGGAGGCAGTGGCAAACCACGTTAAGTGCGGAGAATCAGGTGCCGTAGAAACCAACCTATGTTCAGTGTGTACGTTACCACTTTACGTACAAGTGGCGAAGTTGGCAGAGGCAAATAAACCTGGATCATCACCGTTACAGCACATATGTGTTGTTTGTAATTAGGTAGATGCCTTTGCCTACAGCACCCTTTCTCCAAAGGATGTCATAATATGGCGCTAAAAATAACTCGTGCACTAGTCACGATTTACAGGATCTGCAATGCATGATGCTTTGTTTATCGTAAGAATGATGCCCTACAAAAATGTAGCTCGCTGGGCGATAAGAGGCTGCGCATAAGAGCTACTTGGTTCATTCTCTCTAGTAGGAAAAAAAAACGCGTTGAAAGACAGGGCTAGGAGAGGACACAGACCACGGCTCCGCAGTGTGTGTCCTTTCGTAGTCCCGCCTTACAGCACTGTTTCCCTGTCCTCATATGAATTGCGCGAAAATGGCGACAAAGAGAGGAGCACAAGCACAGTGCGCCTGTGCACGCGTTTTCCGCGCGTTTATAGGGTGGGAGTGGTAATTAGTACATGGATCGGCCTAATCTTCGTTCTTTCAGCTCAGTGTGGCCTGTAAACGCTTTGTCGTACGAAGTTCAGCAGATGTTCAGCAAGGCTCCGCTTCACCACCTTGACCATATTGGGCTGACCTAGCCACTCTTCTATATTGGAGAAAACTACATTGTAGAAAACTACATTGCCAAAAACTGTCCCTCCTCATTAAGTTGCGTACATGGGGTGTCAAGCACCGTGTCTGAAATTGAAACACACATCAGTACTAAACCTGTCGTCGAGTTCCAAGAATCCAACACGTGCCCTGATTATCAGCAAAAGGCTGAGTAGACAACAGTGGCTCCACGTGCCTGCATTTTTTTTTATCGCGGTGAGCGAGTTTCGCTCCTTTCTTCATTCTTGCAGCTTCAGGCTGAAAACGGCGTTTGCTGTCCGTTTCTGAGAGATAATTTCTTGAAATAAAATTGCATTACGCGCACTTTTCTAGCAATGCATCACGTGTGGGCGACGGCAAACCAAACCAGTTTTTCAGTTGACGCACACCGATTTGCAGGAAAAAAAAATTCATTACAAACGTAGTAGGAAAGAGCAGCCTCATTTTTTTTATGAAAAAGAACACTGGAACGTGTGGCGAAAAACTTCCCTTCGTACTTTTAATGAGGTGCAGTGCAGCGGCGAAAGTATGAAGTAAAAGAGGCAGGGTGATGCCGTTCCGTGTCAATATATTGTTTACAGTCTCGTCACCAATGTGTATTTATTTTACGCTATTCTCTACATCTATATGGCGGAAAATTTCAGTGAATAACGGTTGCGTTCGATTAGGATCGTTGCTATGCCACAACAACATCAAGTGATAAAGAAAGAATAAAAACTGCAAGATAGGAGGAGGGCATCAGATGAGCACATTGTGCATGCTATGGCACCACTCTCTTCTTTTAATTTCCCAATTATTCACTTCACTGCATTACAAGTGCGGCACGAGGCTATTTGCTTTGCGCTCACGCCTTCCTGTTTTTAAAAGTTACGGCTGTATGAGGAAAGTAATAGACGTTATGAAGTGGAAATTTTAAAACTTCTTGCCCGATGGTAACGCTCACTGGCAGAACGAAATTGATCGTTGGAACATGGCTGTAAGTAGGTAGCTTATGCTTTGATTGGTGTAAATGGCGCAGAGTTATGGACGCTTTCTGTTTATTGCGGATAACATATGGGTTGTTCGAGTTATTGGTGCAAGAGTATTCAACAGATCTGTATCAATGCATTGAAGATGACCGAATACACGTCATGTCTTTTCCGTATACCTTCCGGTATAACTGCGGTATACAGTTTTAAAAAAATAGAAGCGCCGTTATGTCGGAGCTTCGCTGCAATTATTTGTACGTGCATTATATGAGTGATACAGTGTAACAAATAGGAGCTTGAATAAAATACAATGGCGTAAAACGGCGTACTTAATTTTACAGGAACATTCAAATCAAAGCGAGAGTAGAAACAACTCGAACAACTCCTCAGCTCATTTGGTCTTCCGTATGCTTCTATTTTACATCTTGTCTGAACTACTTGTTTAGTATGAATACCATTGCGAACTGTGTTTACGCTTATCTAAAACCGGTACACCTTTTATTTGTGACTGCTTTTATTACACCTTTATTTTGGACTTTGAAAGGGGGCATTGTGAAAGCGTCAGCGCGTAGGCGTGCAATACCGGCACCGGAAAACGCTGCGCACTGAATACTCAGAACAAACTTGCATGAACCACTGATAGAAATGTTTGGCACGTGGCTTCGTCCACCTGGTGGGGCAACATATACCTGGCGTGTGTCACACATGCCAGGTATATATTTAGTCCACAAGGGTAACAGCCCGTGTGTGCCGGTGTTTGCCGCAGTCTATCGGTTTGCGTTGTGTGTCTCATGCATCTGTTGTTCAGCGGTGGCACCATGGTCTTCAGGAAGGAAATTGCTCTCACCTGCGTCGCGGCTGCTTTAGGTACGTTGTCAGTGAATTGCCCTTGTTACTTGTGTTCTGCGAGCGGGGGGCAACAATAAGTATAGGTACTTGTGTTTCCCGAATACCAAACGTGCTTTATCATTTTGAGGTTCATGGTAGCGCTAGCAGCCGGGGGCCTCGGAATAATAGTGATGCTATTTAGGGTTAAAACGAAGGGCCGGCTCACCACTTGTTCTTGCGCGGCCATGTCGTAAAACCATGGCTGCTCTGTCAGTGCGGTAAATGTCATATGCGGGTAGCACCAGGCTATAGGCGTGAACAGCAAGCACGTCGGCCTTCGTGGTTGACGAGCTACACGCAAAACAGCTGGCAATGCCGACAAACCGTTTGTAAAATCCGCCAAAAATTCTCGTTTGCACCCGTCGCGATGGTTTGATTGTTATGGTGCTTTCCTGCTGACTGGAACCGCAGTTTGCAGGATCTAATCTCGATTAGTCATGGCGGCTGCCTTTCAATGGAGGTGAATTGTTAGACCCATTCACTTAGTTGAATCTTAAAGAACCTATGGTGCTCAGGATTTCTGGAGCACCCCAAAACAGCGTTCCTCATAATTGTAGTCGGCTTTAGGGACGTAGAACCCCAACAGTTTACGGTTATGAACCATCGTTGGTATATCTTTGGTGCAGCATAGGTGAACATGAATCATATAAAACGGAGAGGAAAGAATTATTGAACTGGATCAGCGTAGAGCGTTTCCAAAGATTTGCACTTGGCGAATGACAGCGAAAATTCTTGTAAAATTTCACCATATTTTTAAACACATTTCGTTCTGTCGCAAAGCGGATACATGACGCATTTCAAGAAACATCCGAGTTGACTACATAATTTATGCAGTTTTTTGTTCATTCATGATGGCGCTTGTAATAACGCATGTGTACGCTTTAGAGAGGAAAAAAACACGTTATACGCACATGCGTTTCTACATTCACCTACTTTATTTTATTACTCTGGCGTAGGAATGTATTCCCAAGCAATGAACTTGCGCACTAAACACTCGTGCCGGATGTGACGATCTGCAACATATTTTTTTTTTATTTTTTGCTGAAACAGGGCAGATGGTTGTTGTGGTACTGACGTTGCCGCAGGCGGGGTCGGCCTGGGAGACCTGGCCGGCAATCGCTTTGCCTGAGCGACTCTTTCCACGTAGTTCGACACACCATGATTCCCTTAATCTTTTCTCTTAGACAACGTAAGAGTATGTTAGTCATTTGCTTTCTCATCAACCGCACACCTGTAGGAAGCACAATTTCCTCACATGGCAGCGTTACGAACAGTTTTTCTGGAATCGTTTGAATATAGTTATGTACAGACCTCTGAAAAACTATCAAGCTTCAATCAGCGCTATCGTTAACTGCTGCCAAATTCTCATACACAATTGTACTTATACACTTAAGATCTTTTTCAAGAACTTTCTCGGAAAAGTTGCGGAGAGGAGGGTTGGGAGTACAAGACACGCATGCATGCATTCTCGCACCAATTCGCGCCTCTGATCAATATTTAAATGGTGTATAAATGATGCTGCCTTGAAATACGTGTAAGCACACGCGAGTATGACCATGAATCTAGTTTAGGCTGACAATAAGTAATGCTGGAAATAAGTAGATAAGATTACAGGTCGGCAATCATAAGTAGAACTTGCCCAACAAATATATTTTGCACTTTGGACTCGCCCACGCCCACGAAAAGTTTCCTGGCTTCACTCGGGCTCTTACCGAGTTATTTATTCAATGGGATTCAAACTCGCCAAACTATTACTCACTCGAACTCGCTCATGGCTCGCTCGGAGTCTACGTGAGAGCAAGTGAGTCAACTCGTCAGTGAGGTCACCGACCTATGGTTATAGTTCATCTCACTCCTACTCGGATTAAGCCATGAATCTGAGTGACTTCGGTTGACTAATATTTTGGTGAGTCTGATTGAGAAACATTTCTGTGAATCTGAATACGAGTGAATCCACTTGAGGAAAACTCTCATGAGCATGAGCTCGAGCGAACCCTAAGGGCAAGGGATATTCGACGAGTTAGTTCGAGTGAACTGAGCGTAGTTTTGCCCACTTCTCGTTTTATCTACTAAACTTAGGCACTATATACTACTACCCCCCTTAAGTCGACTCACTTATACTTGGTCTACTCGCATATCAATGCAGTAGTGTTAATATGCCAGTGCAATAACAATTGAACAGAAGTGTATGAGTGAGTTTGAGGGCATTCTAAATTTTTTGTGGACGTATGGCTGGCGTAGTTCTTTCTCGTGCCCTATCTTTGTTTCTTGCGCATTCCTAAAGCAGATGGGCCTTATATGTTCATTGGTGCTGGCACCACGACCAGACCAGCGACAGGTTCAGTGCGAGCCACGGGTGGTGCAGATGGTAGCGGTTGATAAGAGGGCTCGTTTGCAGCCGCCTCTGATCTACCGCTGGTGCCCTGTCCAGACGCAATAAGGGTTCCGGATATTTGTTCCGCTATTTCCAATACTACCCAAAGCTGCGCAAACCACGGGGCCACGAGATCGCATACCCGCTATTATACGACACTTGTAATAGCGGCGAAACTCACTTGAGCTTAAATTTGGTGCACGTTAATTGTTTAAGGGTGCTACAAATTTTTTTTCGAGTCTTGCCCTACGGCATGCCGTACTCGCCATGCTTTTGGCGAGTACGGCCGCATTGATATTTCGTAATATGAACGGTTATATCGCATAGCTTATATTTTTTTGTACTCCCTAAACCACTCCAGATATTTTTCTAGTTTGCTGTTCCGCTGTACAACCCGGGACACCTGCAACCTCGCACAAATCGGCGGTTTTCTTGTAACGTGTAGGCATGTTCAAGCACTCAAAAAAACATTTCCGTCCCGTCGCGAACACCCGCACGCTCTCCCTGACCATCGTTTATCAGTCGCACGTGTGACATGACAAACACGTAAGGCGTACAATAGATAACCAGTGGTCAGTGAGCGTGTGGAGGTGAATACCAAGAGGCGAGCAACTCAGCCAACTGACGGCAGAAAGTTCGAATGTACACTCTACGAAAAAAAAAATTAAACTTTTTTTTTGCTATTTCCGACTTGCCACGTGTATGATATCCCCTAAATAGGCACGCAAACTCCCTTTGGGGTGTAATTGTACTCTCTTCTGAGAGTCATGTGACTCACAAGAGTAAGTGTGCCTTTTTCAGGAGTCATTCCCGTGGCAAGTTAAGAGCCACAAAAAAAAAAGCTACAGGCACTCGTTTTTTTTTTAGTGCTAGAAAAATATTTTCAGGCACGATAGGTCATCAGCTCGTGAAAGAGGCTTCATTTATGATCGTCCTCTATCCAGCAGTGGACATTAAATAGCCGTATGATGATGATTTATTCCAGCTGACTCCCTCTATCTGATTACATTTGGCATACTCGAAACACATCATAGCCTACGAGTAAACATTGACCGGCAGCTATGGCATAGATATGAGCGGTGGCAGTAATTGCTCTGCCGATCAAAGTGTTGCGGTTTCGGCCCTGCTATTATTCTGGTCCGAATATGATGCAGGCACGCTGGAGCACCGCGTACACTGACTGTAGCGCATAGTTTGAGTTACACCGCAGTATCGCGTGGCTAAGTGCACTGTTAAATTGTACAGTGGCGCCGATCGCGACATGTTACCGAGAAATAGTTTCTCTTTTCCTGCGAGTGCGCATCGTTTCGACGTGCTTTCATGCTCACCCTCGTTTCTCCCTACCGCGCTTTCATATTCGCAAACGACAACTTCGAGGTTCTACGCAAGCAAGAGGGGGGGGGGGGGGGTTGCACACTCTCACGAGCAGGCATCTCGGAACTATGCCATGATCAGCGCCACCGCACCACCTTCCAGTGTGCGCTTGGCCATGTTCAGCTCAAACTGAGCGCGATAGTAGGTTGTGAACCATCGGTTATTAAAATCTATACAGAGCCCGCCAATGTATGGTGTCACTCGCATTTCGGTGCAGTTTGTGGAGGCCGAGAACTGTTTCATATTGTGTACCACTGTTTGCGAAAAGAGCTGAGTTAATCTGCAACACCGTTCATTTTTCCCAAATATTCAGTGGCTGTGCTACAGTTGTCTGCCGCCGCCGCTCCTACTTGCTCATCGGTAAGCTATAAATATTTATGGGCTGCATTTTTAAATTGGGCTTACTTGTGGTCTGTTCCAAGTCAAAGGAAATACTTGTTGCATCAGTACGCCTGCTGCTAACACGATTCAACCTATTGAATGCATGCAGCGCGATGCCAGTTGGGCTTTTCAATTGTCACATACGTAAGAGGAAAAATTGCATCAGTTTCTTTTCTGAACGAGAAAAAGGCGCCAAGTCTTTTCAAAGGGAAAAGACTTGTGGAATGGCTCAAGGAACTAAGTAGATATCAACACAGCCTCCAAGTTCTCTCAACACGGCTTATTGTAGCGGGATGTTTCTAGTAAACGTGCTCGTGAATTTTGTACTTATCTGGTACAGACGGGCTCCACTAACTCGAAAGTAGAAGGCCTAGGCTAGGCAATATTTAAACTTTTCTTGACTTCGAACGCTTGATCTACCATAAATGTAGCGTTAAACTCTTCCGTCACGTTGACTGTCACTTCTTCTAAATTCGGAAACAAAATTTCGGTATCATTTTTTATAACCAACCTATTAACTCTGTACCAAAAATAGTTTTATCTATATATATCGATAGTTCAAAGGCATTTGAGGTGTATTTTTATAGCGTACTTACATCTGGACTTGACAACTAAAAAACAAGGAGTCGCCAGAACTAACTTCTCTTATCACAGAGAAGTGCAAATTTAAGGGCTGATTTTCTTTTTTCATACAGAACATTGTTCAGAACTGTGTAAAAGACAGAGACGGGCGGCATCCCTGCCTTCTTTCTCTAACTGGGCTAACTCAGATTTGTCATCGCAAGGCCTGTCAACGTAGAACCAAGACTGGTCGGCTGTTATCAACTGCAGAGAAAGAAACTGGGGCGCCTCCGTCAAGTTTAATAATAATGATGTGTGCTTTTATTGTTCTTGCTGTTTTACACCTGTGTGCAATGTTACGATCTTGCCCCTCCTGCTGGGGCCCTTAAATGGGCCTGCAGTATTTTGTAAATAAAATTAAAAAATTCGCAGTTCAACACTGCTGCCTCTCGTGACGCATAACGCTTGCTGCAAATCGGAATCCACCAGCAGTGATTCAGCCGCATAAACTGCACCGCATCGTAAACAAACTGCCCCTCACGGGGGATCGACTTATAGGCTTGCCTGTTGACTTCGCACGTCTCAGCGTCGGAGTCCTGCATTAGTCCTGTCAGGAGTGGTATACTTAGTGAGACGCTGACCCTGACAGTACCACACGCTTTCCGAAGACGCTCGGCCGACGATATCGTAGTCCCGGAATGACCACTCCCGGGTTTCATGGCACCGAATGTTAATAACCAGTACCAGTGGTCGCGTAACTAGGTGACGATTTGCTCACTCGATCAGGGCTATCTCCGCCTTTCTCCCTGTTAGTTCTCTGTTAGTTCGGAATAATGTTGTCTTATCGAGTAGCACTGCCGCACTTAAGTGACCTAAGCACCTAAGTCCATGCATTGCTAGCGGAAAAGTAGTCAGTTTATACCGCGTGTTACAAAGGAATGTGTCCGAAAACCTAAAGAAATTGTTGAAACCGATGTTATTTCAAAACCTTCAGTTATTTCTCCTGTAGTCGCATGCGTGTCAAGATGCATAAAGAAGCTAATTCGAAAGGTATTTGAATATTAAGTCCAGTTTTACTTATTGAATTTCAGCGTTTAAGCGCAGTTGGTGAATTGAAGCCCTTCATGCGAAGAACCCATTGCAGGGTCGAGATGTCGAAAGGCTGGTCTCTATATAGTAATCATGTAGTAGTGAGGTTCACCAAAACTCAGCGGTGAAACCGGAACTTGGAAGAGCGCAACTGACGTATTATTCCGAGACTTCCAGAATGAATGAGCTTCGTTATATCAACTATAAACAGAAATGGCATTGTACTTGTCCGGCCAGTAGTTGCAATTATAGCACGCATGACTCGCATGCGTGAACGAATGCGAGAGAATCATACCTGCGTGGCCCTTGTAAACAGCAGCCACGCCATCCTTGTCGCCTGCTTGTTGCGCTTTTCGGTGCACCGTTTTCACCGTTGAATCGCATTTCGCCACAGTGATTACGAAATGGCACATTTTCAGTATCAATAACGAAATGGCTGTGATGGGTTGCTTGCATGAACAGCTTCAGTTGTCCCACTTGACATAACAGCCGCGGCTCACCAGACCTGGCATACGTTCGCTAGGGTGGCCAGTCACAGTGTTAAGCCATTTCACGGTATCTTGGGTTGTACTTACCCTGACTAATTGCGTGTGAATGCAGGATTCTGACTGCTCCGGCGGTCAGCGATGCGTCGAGCACTTCAACATGTCGGTGAACTCTAACTGCGACAGCTACAAATACTGTAAGCACCTCTTTGATTCGACATAAGTTCGATGCGTGTATTCCCAGGCTTTTGCATGACCCTCACAAAATGCTTACATGTAATCTTTTCGCGGTGACTTCCTTTGTGAAGGCTGGGTGGAGGGCGCTCACGGCTAAGTGAACGTTTACGGTAAATGCGCGTTTTCTTTTATTTCTGAGCGTTCTAATGGTCGCACTTTTTTTCTTTCAGTAATAAAAAGAGCGAAGGGAAGGTTTTTCTCATAACTTCATGCATATGGTCCATCCCGCTTCTTCACTATTGCACGAAGGTCTTCTCTCCAGCAATGTAGCGCTTTTTATCGGCGTACAAGTGCGCCGTTTTTTAAAGCTTTTTATTTATGTCACCAGATGGTAACACGTATAGCAAAGGAATGGATGGTTTCGTGACTAGCGCCTCGAAACCGCTTATTTTCAATTCAGAAGCACCGGGCGCTGCTCGGCTTGACACAGCAGTACCGTGGTTAGTTGCCTCTTTTCTGTTAGTTTTGTATAGGCTCGGCCCATCCCTAGTGTTCCCTCGAATTTCGCTCGTGAAAGATTTTGCATTTGGAAAATCAAAATGCGCATTGAGTCCGCCGTAGGTTAAAAGCACGCTCAACTTCCTGCCACCTGCAATTCCTTACTTTGTTTCTGCAATCTCAACCGTTTGTACTAGCTGGCTACATGATCAACTTGCAGATCCTTTAAACCATGCACTGTTCATTTTCTTTCGCAGGTATTGACGTGTCGGATACATCCTGCTCCGTGAGTATCTTGTTCGATGTTGTTTCTTACAAAATTGTGGGGAGTTGTCTAAAGCGACATAATCGTCTGTATTGAGTCTTGCCAACAAAACCCACAAAATAAACAAAAATGCACGGATTATTTTTTTGTGTGTTAGCCATGCATTGTACGTACAAGCTTTGTCACGAGTAATTGCAAAGGAATTATAGGCTTCATTATTCCAATTTCGTTACTATATAGTCACATTGTGATATCCATGCAGCCTCGCCTCACACCTTCCCGCCCTGCTCATCATTCTTTCCTTTTGCTAAGTAGAACAACTTTCGCAAGTTACAACCCTATAGCACTCTCTGTATGTTAATTGCGTTGGTAGTGAATGTTCCTTAGCCCACAAAATAAATCTAGAAGCCCACGTGGTGACATTGTGTAGTTGTGATAACGCGAACGAAATAACGGGATTTTCTTCCCTTTGACTTGTTCGTATTTCATTTGTCCATGACTCTGCGTGTTCGTCCACCTGTAGGGGAACTCGCGTGTGCGACTGGCACCCATTTTTATTCTTACATCGATGCTCGTGCTCCCTCACTACTCTACTTTTGAAAACTCAAACTGGCGTTTTAACTTAACCTCTCTTGTATCCAGTGCTCTGATGGCTACACCTGCCGCCTGATGGATTGTCCACGTTCTCCGTATGAATGTAAGTGGCAAGGTCATTTCTCGTGCTCGGTTCTAGATTGGGTTCTTCATAGAAAAAAGATTCTTATCTGGACCAGTGAATGAAGCAAACACACCGATTAGCGAATACCAATGACATGGTTATAAATGCTAAAAAATCTTCATTTTGCATGAGCCATGGATCTTGCTAATAAGCAAAAAAACTACAATTGAGCTGTAATCAGTTTAAACAGCATTCTGTCACTCTAATCCACATTCGCTTCAGAGTAGAAAGACATATTTAGATGGAAGATTTGCTACCTATGGCTACGTGCCCTGATTGTGCACTTTGTACGAAGTTATTTCTTATTCCCACATAATGAACACAGCCTTATAGCACTAATACTCATTTGGCGCTCACTTGTTGCCCTTACGTATTGTGGCGCTGATTGTGCGCAGTAGGCTATTTATTTTACTGGTGTTACGAATGAGAACTATTCTTCGGGAGCATCTACGATAGGCCATTGCACTCAATGTAATGAACACGCCGATTATATTAGCGTAAGCACGTGCTGCTAGGGCTGTTAAATAGTAAGTAGAGTTGGGTAAATTAAATCGCCCATTACTGCTGTAAATGGCGTTTCATTTTGTCGCAATGAAATGATGCAGTTGGGCAACAACTTTGCTCGGGTTTCTCAGTACATTAAAATTTTTTGTACTTTTTGTGGAGAATTCAGCATTCTAGTTGTACAACAAATGAATAGATGAATTTTTATTATACGTGAAATCATTCATCTGCATACATTAGGGGTAGTGTTGTCCGACCCGGTGCAACAGCGGTTACAATGATTGGCTGCTGACCCTAAGGTCGTGGGTTTGATCCCCTCCGTGGTGGTTGGATTTCAATGGCGGCACAATGGTAGACGCCCGAGTACTGTTCGACGTCAGTGCCCGTTAAGCAACATACCATACTCAAAAGTTTTGGAGCTCTCCATGACGGCGTCTCCTAAGATGGTACCGTGGTGTTGGGGCGCAAAATAGCTGTTGGTAGCTCCATAACTAATCCTGGCATTAGCTTTTGCGTACTTTTGCGTAGCTGAAAGGTTATAGGTCTATTTCATCGCGCGAACCGAACGTTTCAGCCACGGTAGCCTGGCTCCCAGCATCTAAACACGCCTGCCTTTCTCATGCCGCGAATATGAGCGCAATGTTCCATACCATTATATTCCCCGTGAATTTCGGCCCTATGTTTACGTGATGCTATGTTTACGGTACTTTGGGCTGTATAAAGTCCTCCGTCGTCTCAGTGATGTTAACTATGAGGTGATTCCCGACAGTCCACCATGTTCAAGACGCCAAGGACATGCACCAGAAGCTGTGCACGTAGTTCGGATGAAACCTTATTTGTCCCAATGAACCCGTGGGCTGCCAGTGACTAATAACCCTTCCACCATGATGATGAAGCATTGGGACGATGCCTTCTCGAGAAGGAGGCTAATTTCACGGTTATTAGCCGTAAACACAAAAGGACGAAGAAGCCAGCATCACGAGTGGCAGTCTCTGGCGTTTTTCGAGGAAGACGACGTTGCGCGTCTGCTCTTGCGCTTTGTTTTTGTATGTGAATAGAACCTTGCTGTTAACGCCGAAAGGAAGCCTTGTGTCCTGTTCTTTGCACGTTGTGACACTATTCTCGACCTACAGGCTTTGCTATGTGTCCGCCGGGCGTGTGCCTCTTTGCCTTGCTTTGTGCTGGGAGAACAATGTTGTAGTGTGCATGAGACCGGGTTTTCAATTCGACAAGCATTGAAAGCCTGGCTTGGGGTACTTGATCAAATAAAAAACTTCATCTTGTAAGCCTTTTTTAATATACAGAGGGTTTTATGTATAGTGCACACGTTTTGACTGAAGACTTGAACTTTCGACTTTTCCAGTACGAAGGATATGCAAATCCTGACCTTCAAAGATTATAGCGCTACGAGTCCCGAATTTTTTCAGCACGCAAAAAATCTAACGATGGCAACGGCACCCCACTTGCATATAGTTAAACACATTCACAAGAGTTTCTGCAGAACGTATTTAAATTGCTGATTGGTGACAAGTACGCGTCAATAGAAAATTGAGGCAACGCACAAAGAATGTACAAGATATTGGTCGTATGTTATTATGATAGCTTAGTGGCTAACATGTACTGCTGCGGAACCTCAGGACGTTGATTTGGTTTTTAACCAAGCAGGGCGTATTTTGACGGGGCAGATGGCAATAATCTTCTTATGCTTCCATCCACGGGCACGTTGAAGAACTCCAGGTGGTCCAAATTAGCCTAGACCACAACAGAGGTGCGCTACTGTACACCCCACTAAGTACCTATAATCCCACCGTGTCAGTTAGACCCCCAAAAGTAAATTTGATTTTTTCCCTAGCAGAGCACCACATAATTATTATTCTCTCTGTATCGTACAGACGTAAAGTTATCGTGTTTCTACTCTTTCAATTCCTTCAGGTCTCTATTTAGAAGATACCACTCACCGATGCGGTGCATCAAACGTAAGTGAACGTTCATTTGTCTATTAGAGAGGTACAGCACAACGCAATTTAATTTCCAGCTCAGTGCAATGTGAAATCGCAGAAAAGTGAATACAACGCAGGCTTCTCGATACGCCGCCTTTCTGTTATTAGAACATGATTATCTCGCTAGCTTCAAACAAAACGTCCTGTTTTCACTATGAATACCTCAACCTTAATTAATCAGTGTAAAGGTAATTTTCTTAGAAATCGGTTTATTCATTGTTCATACACGGCTGCGCTGTGACACTCGTTTTACTTCACCGATATGAAACAAATATTTGCAGGCTCCAGTGTGCAAAGGAGATGAGACTTGCGCCTACGTCTTCAATCTAGTTTTTTGCTACAAGTGCCCCTGCTACGGACAGTTCAACGTCACCTGTGAGTACACGTCTTTACGGTGCTCTTCCGAAAAGCAGTGAACACTGCCGCATGTATAAGCACATATTAAACACACCGTGAGAGATACGCAGAAGGAAGAACTTGCCTCCGATGAATATGCTCAGCTTTCAAACTATGCATCGACTTTTGCACTACGCTCGCACCTGTGTCTTCTACTCGGAAACCTCACCATTATAAATTTCTATTCAGCATCCAGGGTGGCACGAACTAAATATAGATTCGTCCTAGCCCGTGTGTTCTCACTTTCAAATATTGTGGTCCTATATATTTGTTTTCCTTTTTTTTAGAGTGAAACTGTTCTCGGTAAACGCTTTCGTGTGCGGGAGAGACGTATATTGTAGTGGGATTTACCCACAGAAAATGGGCAAATTTCACTATGAATAAGTACCACTCCTCCCTCTGATCACTACTACCATAACTCACCACGACGCCCACTAATGCTCTTGCCACTTCAGTCACCCACTTCATGCCACATCATGCACACTTCATTCAACACCGCTGCACGCAACTCCTAGCTTCACTGTTCCATCGGTGTTCGCGAAGTCAAGCTGGCTGTCTTTCCTGTCCTTCTAGGACCTTTCTTTCACCAATTCCTTTACAATATTCAAAATACCATGAAGGTACCTCTATGTCCGCCTACAGACTTTGCTGTTTTTTGCATAGAGAACTTTGTTTGTCTCTTTTTAGTACTAGATGTGTTTACCTAATAGCGCGCCACAAATATGAAACATTTCTCAGAAGTCACAATAACCTTCCCATATACCCCATTCACAGGTCTGAAGGAGAGCAGCCAGTACCCGGCCTGCGGACCAAACAGCATCGCCACGCTCTACGGCACTGAATACACATGCGATGGCTGCCGGTCGGCTAGTACCGTGCTTGTTGCACCCAACTGACCACATGAGTGCTGCCTCCAACAGCCAACCTCTGTGATGAACATTGACATGCGGAAAGTGTAGGCCTGCTTCGTTTCAGCAGTACCAATACATGAACGTTATATTGTGTTCTTTAATAAAGCAATGAGTTCATTGAAGTTTGCCAATTCTCCGCAAAAAAAAAAAAGCAGTTTGTTTGTATTTTACGAAGTGTGGGTCCGGGGAATACATATATCGACGGTCCCATTGGGCGTCTTAACTCCTTAAGGACAGATGCACATGACTGTTTTTTTACTGAAATAAATGTATGCAAAACTATATTAGCTTTAATGCGAGACAAGAGGAAGGGCGCTGGCTAGGCCTTCTTTGTTGCGCAATATTGTTGTCGCGAAGTAAAAATCTAACACAAGGCTATACAGAGGTGTATAATACAGCACTCGCACACTCGTTCCACGTCCTTGATTCAAAATCTGTCCGCGCACAAATATGCACATTTACAAGTATTCAAGCCATTCAAATGCCTACGATTGAAGCATAAAACTTTTTCCTGAATCAGAGGATTGATACAGATGAGGCATTCATGCTGAACGAAAATTCACAGTCCATGCGACGAGCAGCATCTCAAAAATCCGAACAAAGCACACTCGGGGACAACAATGTAGAGTGAAACAAAAGAATATGTGTATTTTTCTGTACAAGGATCACAGTTCACAATGAAAGGCGCATCATGGCGTATAAGATTGCACAAGTGCATTTCCGCTTGCGGTCACACTCAAGCACGACACATTGCGACAAAACAAACGCGTGTATTACACAATAAAGCGCACGGCTCGGAACGCTTGGCACGGAGAACGTACTGGTAAAATAGAGCCAAATACAGCCCATACATTGCACGATAAGTAGCGTCACTCAAGATTATCTTCAGGCACAGCACTCTTAATGATAAGAGGAACATGCGTGATTTAACAAAAGAATGTCTCAACGTGTGAATCTTCGAGATGTTAGCATATATAGTGAAGCTCATGTTGACTCTCAGCCTCTTTTGGGACGTTAAGCAGAAACATCATCATTATTGGTCTTCTTAATTGCTCTGTCTTTAGTGTGTGTTCGTGTGATCGAAAACTGTATTATGTGTTCCTTCATAGCAATTATAGCGCGTAAGTTTGATTGATATGTGGAGTTAAACGTCCCAAAACCACCATATGATTATGAGAGACGCCGTGGTGGAGGGCTCCGGAAAGTTCGACCACCTGGGGGTCTTTTAACGTGCACCCAAATTTGAGCACACGGGCCTACAACATTTCCGCCTCCATCGGAAATGCAGCCGCCGTAGCCGGGATTCGATCCCGTGACCTGCGGGTCAGCAGCCAAGTACCTTAGCCACCAGACCACCACGGCTAAGCAGAGCGCGTGATCTTGTACTGCAGCTAAGCACTACTACTCGTGCAGAACTCGCTTGGGATTGTCGACAAAGAACAACCGAGCTGCTACTGTGCGTAGGTTTACGCATCAGATTGTTCACTAGTGTCGACCACAGCCCCTGAGGGTAGCGTTTTCAAAATGTATTGAAGTCCATGGCTGTAATGACTCTTAACCACACAATGCATTATATATAACGCAACGCTAATTCTCTTTGATAAGAACTAGCTGAGGCTGTGTGCCCTAATTTCTTTAAGGCTTTTTTAACTACCGTATTATTGCAGCTATGTATTCACGTATACCAAGATAAGCTCACGTCAAGCCCAAGAAGCAGTAGCGACTGGCCTTCTAACTAAAATTTTAGCCATTCCAGCTAAAAGTTCACTAAGACCATGTAGTCCAACGTCCGCCAGACTTTTTATTTTTAACCTATGTGGCTCTTAAAGCTGTATGACGTCTTCACGTAGACCAAATCTAGCCCACTTCAAGTTTGGTGAACAGTGGTGATTGTGCAACTTAAAAACCTGCCGTTCCCGAAATACGAATTATCCGCGTCGTTCTGTTATCTTCAGCGTACTCGATGTCATCGTGCATGCATGCTGCTTTGTTCTGATTGCCAGCACGGGAAGGTCTGATCGCTAGATTTCGTGCCAGGCGTTCTGGGCATCAAGCCACGTCACTCGGTAATTATCGCCATTCATACACAAGTCCACCAATTCTTTTGGCGTCAATGTCCATGATCTTAGCCGAGGGCTCCAGAGATCTGAAGGATGGGCGTAAGGACGGAGCGGAGGTTCTTGTCACCAGACGTGGAACTGAAGTCGATGCTCTTGCACTTCTGGCCCGACCGGTAGGCGGTGCACACTGTTCCGAGTAGCTCGCCGGAGTACCTCTCGACGAGTCCCTGGGCGAACTCGATCACGTCCGAATCGCACTGGCCCTGGACCACCTTGCTTACGCACTGTTCGAACACGTTGTACTTGCTATATGAGGAGAGAGAGAGAGAGAAAGAGTGCTCAGAAAGGAGACAGAGATAGCCTTCACACTGCAACTCTATGAAGCTATCACCATGGTTATTGAAACTGAATTTCTAATCTGAAGCGAGAAGTGGTTGCTCAGTACTCGGTGGCTATTTCATTGCTATACGTTCCACGGCATAAAAAATGGTTTAAAAAATAAAATAAAGTACAGAAAAACATATCGCAAGCAGTAAATAAATAAATATAACACGGTAATGAACAGTTCACTTCGCAATTGATTGTACGCGCGCCCACAATTTTGTCAAAGTTCCACTCACAGTGTACTGAACACATAACTTCACGTGTAGTTGTGCATGACCGTTCGTCACGTTCATGCGCAACTTCATGACGAATATGTCAGTTGGAAAGGGATCGGCAATATTAAATATTTTTAAACCACGTGTTCTTACGCGACGAAAGCTCTTTGTAAAAAGAAGGGTGTATCATAGCCGTACAATATAACTTGATAATCAAATAAACCATCGTATCGAAACTGAATAAACATGAACGGATAAGTGTATTAGAAGTGTGAACTGCCACAACTAATAAGGTTAGCCAGTAGAAACTGGAGCTGCAAGTGTGCCAGCGAATTCGACACATTTAGTGTCTTTTTACTTTTCATGGATGCTATTTGCCATAATTTTAATATCTGTGAAAATTAGCTATGTAAACCACCGAGAGCTTCTAATCAACTTCCAAAAAAAAAAAATATGCAGTTTAGCAAGACGCTTTCTTTGATTGCAACGCCTTATAGGAGGTCGGTTCATCTTAATTTCTTATTAGAGTACGCTTTAACACATTCTTTGCACTCACGTGCGAATTGAGAATTGATAAATTTTTACCTCCCCCTGACATCAAGAATAAATAAACAATACTTAGTGAAAGCCTGTTCTTAGGCATAGTGATCCGTGTTATCAAAAATACACCTGCAATTTCGCTTATTGTATAAATTCTGCCAGAATGATGGTAAGGTCGATGGGTCTAGCGGGCAACGTAGAGTGGTTAGTCAGACTCGACTATATATATATATATATATATATATATATATATATATATATATATATATATATATATATATATATATATATATATATATATATATATATATATATATTTATATATATTTATATATATATATATATATATATATATATATATATATATATATAGGCAGGCATGGTGGTTGAGTGGCCGTAGCGTTGCATATAGTCTAGTAGATCCTCCGTGAGCGGTCACAACGTGGTTTATTTCGACGTTTAGGCCTAGAGTCTGGCCTTCATCTGGCCTGATGAAGGCCAGACTCTAGGCCTAAACGTCGAAATAAACCACGTTGTGACCGCTCACGGAGGATCTACTAGACTATATATATATATATATATATATATATATATATATATATATATATATATATATATATATATATATATATATATATATATATATATATATATATATATATATATTGAACGCGTTATTCGAAGGTCGTGGATTCGATTCCTGCTCACGGCTGGTTATTTTTTCATCCACTTTTCTTTCTTCTGTCTTCTTATTTACATTCCATTGGTTCTAATAACTTCCCCTGTACAATCCTTGGCATTACTGTCTGTTAGATCTCATTAATATTGTGTTAAAACACGGAAAAACGAGCCCTTAGGTATACACTTCTTTCCCTTATATATATATATATATATATATATATATATATATATATATATATATATATATATATATATATATATATATATATATATATATATATATATATGGGAGAAAAGTGTATACCTAAGGGCTCGTTTTTCCATGTGTAGTGGAGCATACGCACCAACGCGTATGCGCCTTCGGAAGACAACGAGAAGCCCGTGCTCTGATTGCGCGAGAACCTGTGCCGCCTTTGCCAGACTTGCTGTTCGCCCATTTTTCCGTCGCGACCTCGTTGCGACTCCTCTGTTCTAATAAACATCATCGCATTTGGTGGAGGCTGCTGAGATCCCCAAGCAGACCTGGAGCTCCGCTCTCGCAAGTTGGCCAAAAGACTACCGTACAACATGACTGACGCAGTCGCCAACCAGCCCATCCCAGCACAGCCAGCACCATCGGCTGCCCCGTCGACCTGCCCCGGTGCTACCCGTCAGCGGGACCCACCAATCTTCAGCGGCAGTGGTGAGCAAGACGTCGAAGACTGGCTCTCCTTGTACGAACGCGTGAGTGCCAGCAACAAATGGGACAACGACTCCAAGCTTGCCTATGCCATCTTTTACTTGGCTGACGTCGCCAAGCTATGGTTCACCAACCGCGAAACCGCCATCGCCAGCTGGTCCACCTTCAAGACCCTCGTGACCGAAGCGTTCGGCCGACCAGAGGTCCGCAAGCTCCGCGCTGACCAGCGTCTGCGCCACCGAGCCCAGCAACCTGGTGAGACCTTTACTAGCTATATTGAGGATGTGCTAGACCTCTGCAGGCGTGTTAACTCATCCATGCCTGAAGAAGAGAAAATTCGACATATTCTCAAAGGCATCGAGGATGGCGCATTCCAGATGTTGCTGGCGAAGAGCCCGACCACGGTGGCAGTCCTCGTAAGCCTGTGCCAGAGCTTCGATGAATTGCGGCGTCAGCGTTCCATCGCCCGACAGAGTGTTCCATCACCAGATTCGATCTCGGCCGTCGCACTCGCCAATGGCAACGTTCACCAAGGAACTCTGTCGAACCAGATTAAAGACTTCATCAGGGAGGAAGTCGCCCGACAGCTTTCCCTGCTGCCGCATAGTGACGCGCCCACGACAAGCCTCCCTTCGAATATGCAGCAGGCCATACGCACTGAAATTTTCAATGCACTCCCTACAGTTCCGGCCTCTTACCCGTGCACTTCGGTGCCATCTGATCTCTCAACTGCTGGCTACGCACCAACTGCGCCGCCTTCACCTCTCAGCTACGCAGCTGTGGTCGCGCGGCCCCCACCGCATCCAGTCGCCTTATCGGCTCCACCTCCTCCGGCCTCGCCTCCAGTCTACAGGCCCCTACCTCGCTTTTTCCGTCCATCTAATGAGTGGCTCACCCGAGACAATCGTCCCATCTGCTTCGCGTGTGACATCGCTGGCCACATTGCACGCTTCTGCCGCCGCCGTCCCACACCTGCTAACGCATACTTCGGAGCTCCTACCTACGCACCGCAGCAGACCACCACGTCTGCATATGAACAGAGGCACTCCGACTCGGATCGCCACCCATCGACTGCTCGTTTCCCATCACCTCGTCGCCGATCGCCATCGCCTATGCGTCGTCGACCACCTCTCGAGGAGGGAAACTAATCAGTGCAGTTCCGGAGGCAAGAACTGCAACTTGTGCGCAATTCCCAAGGCCTCCATTTTCGCCGCAAAATGTTGTTGATGTCGATGTTAACGGAGTCGCCACATTAGCGTTAATTGATACCGGGGCCGCCGTTTCTGTGATGAACGCAAACTTTTGTAGGAAACTGAAGAAAGTGACCACATCTCTCAGTGGCTTGGTGCTGTCCACGGCTAGCGCGCAACGCATTCATCCCTTGGCTGTGTGTACGGCGCGTGTCGTCATCCGAGACGTTTTGTACGTCGTACAGTTTTTTGTTCTACCATCTTGCTCTCATGACCTTATCCTGGGTTGGGATTTCTTATCACGTCATGAAGCTATCATCGATTGTTCCCGTGCCGAAGTGTCCCTTGTGCCAACATGTGAATTTCCACCACCCGACCGCTCTCCTCTGCTCTGCAAAGTCATCGCTGATGACGACATCACCTTGCCTCCTGAAGCTTCGGTCCCTATTAGCCTTTCATGTCTGGCGCAACCTGACGGCACGGTGGTGTTTACGCCATCTCTGGTTTTTACTGAACGCAAGGGCATCGTTCTCCCATTTGCTGTTCTTACAATTGCGTCTGGTTTAACCGTAATGCTGGTCACCAACCACTGCAACTACGACCCCCTCATTGTGCCTACTCCCAGAGTCGCCAGGATGGCTACCCTTCACCCCGGGGGTATTGTAGTGGAGCATACGCACCAACGCGTATGCGCCTTCGGAAGACAACGAGAAGCCCGTGCTCTGATTGCGCGAGAACCTGTGCCGCCTTTGCCAGACTTGCTGTTCGCCCATTTTTCCGTCGCGACCTCGTTGCGACTCCTCTGTTCTAATAAACATCATCGCATTTGGTGGAGGCTGCTGAGATCCCCAAGCAGACCTGGAGCTCCGCTCTCGCAAGTTGGCCAAAAGACTACCGTACAACATGACTGACGCAGTCGCCAACCAGCCCATCCCAGCACAGCCAGCACCATCGGCTGCCCCGTCGACCTGCCCCGGTGCTACCCGTCAGCGGGACCCACCAATCTTCAGCGGCAGTGGTGAGCAAGACGTCGAAGACTGGCTCTCCTTGTACGAACGCGTGAGTGCCAGCAACAAATGGGACAACGACTCCAAGCTTGCCTATGCCATCTTTTACTTGGCTGACGTCGCCAAGCTATGGTTCACCAACCGCGAAACCGCCATCGCCAGCTGGTCCACCTTCAAGACCCTCGTGACCGAAGCGTTCGGCCGACCAGAGGTCCGCAAGCTCCGCGCTGACCAGCGTCTGCGCCACCGAGCCCAGCAACCTGGTGAGACCTTTACTAGCTATATTGAGGATGTGCTAGACCTCTGCAGGCGTGTTAACTCATCCATGCCTGAAGAAGAGAAAATTCGACATATTCTCAAAGGCATCGAGGATGGCGCATTCCAGATGTTGCTGGCGAAGAGCCCGACCACGGTGGCAGTCCTCGTAAGCCTGTGCCAGAGCTTCGATGAATTGCGGCGTCAGCGTTCCATCGCCCGACAGAGTGTTCCATCACCAGATTCGATCTCGGCCGTCGCACTCGCCAATGGCAACGTTCACCAAGGAACTCTGTCGAACCAGATTAAAGACTTCATCAGGGAGGAAGTCGCCCGACAGCTTTCCCTGCTGCCGCATAGTGACGCGCCCACGACAAGCCTCCCTTCGAATATGCAGCAGGCCATACGCACTGAAATTTTCAATGCACTCCCTACAGTTCCGGCCTCTTACCCGTGCACTTCGGTGCCATCTGATCTCTCAACTGCTGGCTACGCACCAACTGCGCCGCCTTCACCTCTCAGCTACGCAGCTGTGGTCGCGCGGCCCCCACCGCATCCAGTCGCCTCATCGGCTCCACCTCCTCCGGCCTCGCCTCCAGTCTACAGGCCCCCTACCTCGCTTTTTCCGTCCATCTAATGAGTGGCGCACCCGAGACAATCGTCCCATCTGCTTCGCGTGTGACATCGCTGGCCACATTGCACGCTTCTGCCGCCGCCGTCCCACACCTGCTAACGCATACTTCGGAGCTCCTACCTACGCACCGCAGCAGACCACCACGTCTGCATATGAACAGAGGCACTCCGACTCGGATCGCCACCCATCGACTGCTCGTTTCCCATCACCTCGTCGCCGATCGCCATCGCCTATGCGTCGTCGACCACCTCTCGAGGAGGGAAACTAATCAGTGCAGTTCCGGAGGCAAGAACTGCAACTTGTGCGCAATTCCCAAGGCCTCCATTTTCGCCGCAAAATGTTGTTGATGTCGATGTTAAGGGAGTCGCCACATTAGCGTTAATTGATACCGGGGCCGCCGTTTCTGTGATGAACGCAAACTTTTGTAGGAAACTGAAGAAAGTGACCACATCTCTCAGTGGCTTGGTGCTGTCCACGGCTAGCGCGCAACGCATTCATCCCTTGGCTGTGTGTACGGCGCGTGTCGTCATCCGAGACGTTTTGTACGTCGTGCAGTTTTTTGTTCTACCATCTTGCTCTCATGACCTTATCCTGGGTTGGGATTTCTTATCACGTCATGAAGCTATCATCGATTGTTCCCGTGCCGAAGTGTCCCTTGTGCCAACATGTGAATTTCCACCACCCGACCGCTCTCCTCTGCTCTGCAAAGTCATCGCTGATGACGACATCACCTTGCCTCCTGAAGCTTCGGTCCCTATTAGCCTTTCATGTCTGGCGCAACCTGACGGAACGGTGGTGTTTACGCCATCTCCTGTTTTTACTGAACGCAAGGGCATCGTTCTCCCATTTGCTGTTCTTACAATTGCGTCTGGTTTAACCGTAATGCTGGTCACCAACCACTGCAACTACGACCCCCTCATTGTGCCTACTCCCAGAGTCGCCAGGATGGCTACCCTTCACCCCGGGGGTATTGTAGTGGAGCATACGCACCAACGCGTATGCGCCTTCGGAAGACAACGAGAAGCCCGTGCTCTGATTGCGCGAGAACCTGTGCCGCCTTTGCCAGACTTGCTGTTCGCCCATTTTTCCGTCGCGACCTCGTTGCGACTCCTCTGTTCTAATAAACATCATCGCACGTGTTTTAACACAATATTAATGAGACCTAACAGACAGTAATGCCAAGGATTGTACAGGGGAAGTTATTAGAACCAATGGAATGTAAATAAGAAGACAGAAGAAAGAAAAGTGGATGAAATCCACGACCTTCGAATAACGCGGTTCTCTATATATATATATATATATATATATATATATATATATATATATATATATATATATATATATATATATATATATATATATATATATGCATTTGATTCGCTGAACAACAGGTACCTTTTCATGAAAAGTTATCTCACTACAGCCTATTCATTGGAGCTTTCACAAACCTCCAGCACGCTATTAAAAATCCTCAGCAATAGTGAAACAAACAGCTTGAGTGCAGATAATTCTGCTTCCTGCTGAGCAACACCAAAGTCTGTGTTTAAATGTAGCAGATCTATTAGCCCCAAGCTTCAGCGCAGCCCAGTGCACTTCAGCAATCGCTTTCGCTGACAGAGAACCATCGCTCATATACGCACCAGCATGCCCCGCCAATCCTTTGCTTGTTGGGAAGCTTGGAAGCCAAGTCGAGGTCAGCAACGAGACCGCGGAGGCACTTGTGGAATCCAGCGCCAACCTTGTTTAGGCACGGAGCGCTCCTGAGATAGTCTGTAATAAACGCATAGGGAGAAAGAAACGGATTAAATTTCTCGAAATCGAGATCAGTGCAGAGATGTGCGAATCGTACACACTAAGAAGAAACTCCTCTGGCTCTTTTTTTAGTTCTGGCTTGCAGTGCATTAGAATACATTAAAGAGACAGCGTAGTGAGAAATAACACTCGATTATATTGAGGAAAGTATAGGGGGCGGTATTAGCAGTAATTGTGACGTAAATGTGAAGAAGGAAAAGCTGATGAGAAGATACCTTGTGCCTGGCAGCGGCAAGTTATGTTTTCATCCACTTTGCTTTCTCCATATTTACATTGATATCACCACTGGTAACACCCCCTATATTTTCGTTAAAGTTATTGAGTGTTAGTTCGCAATAATATTACGTCTAACAAAAGAGAAACAAGCCCTTAAATATTTCCTTCTGTCCATCACTTTTCAAAGTGAATTATATACGTCAAATACGTGGCACGCAAGGATTTCCCAAGTCAAACACAATTTTTTTTTCTTGCAGTGTAAAGCAGCTGAACGAGTCGCACAACTTCTATCGAAGCACCTGATTATTTCGTATACACTTTCGGTATCAGCAGTAGTGAGCAAAATAGCTCTTCACTTGTTGATTGCAGAAGTTCCACACGTGAAGAGAACACGCGAAGAGAAATTATATCTAAGCATAAAGCTACTCTTTCGCAAAACTTGCATCTTGCTACGCGGGACACTGCGAATGCTTGTGTCACCAGCTAAACATATGGTTAATAAAATAATGTTCTGGCTGACCATTTAGGACAACTCCTCGGAGGCCTTCACACACCAATTTTCAATTACTCGTGTTTCGCGCCAGCGTACATATCCTCCTCCGTTGAAATGCGCGTGCGATTGTTCTAGAAATCGATGCTTTCCAGGAAATATATAGCGTGGAGAACCAAAGGCAATCCTGCTCTTTGAAGCGCTGTTAAGGCACGATACAGAATCTATTCTTCATGTGCACCACATTAATGTTGAATCTCTCCCCCTCCCCCCGCCGAAAAAAGTTTAACACAAATGTCCGCTCGTCGAACCACACTTTGGCTCTGCTTTAGGTAACTGGTGTCCGAGTCCTATATTTTGCCTATTAGCGCACAGGTAATGTGTATAAAAGGAATATTGGGCGGCCACATGTAACACTACTAGAATCATGAAAATAAGATGTCTTGAAAACCGCATGCAGCGTATGAAAGTTTGGCTTTTCAGAAGATGCTTTTAACAGTGCCTTTGATTCATTGCAAAAAATGACATTGAATGCTGCGCATTAATGATTTTGTTTCTCCATCCGGTTGTTCGTGTGAACGTAATACACAGTCGAGGTGAACGCGCGAGAGCATTAGGTAACCATGCATGGGATCACTAGGCGTAATTCTCTGTAGGCTAGAATGAAGCCGATACGTTAGCTTCACAACTCATAGGTATGTCTCAAAAGCGTATTTTTTTTTTTTGTGCCAACTGGATTTTTCAGTTATTCGGTACATATATAACATGGTAGACATCAGTTGAAGATGGGCTTATTTATTTTTAGGAGCCTGAGCACCTGTTTACCCTTCTAAATTTCAGATCAATCTTTCTAAAGACAGTGCAAATTTTCTGAAACTCTGGAAGAAATAAAAGCAAACATGAAAGTTATGAATTGGTTGTACCAGGGATTGTATATAATATGGTGCACCCCATGTTTGTCATTAGTTGACTTGGCAGGCATATAATTTGTATAAGCTAGCATAAATAGCAATTAAGTTTCAAAAAGTGATTATATCGACCACATAACGGCAGCTGACTGTTCAGATCTCAACCGTGCGCTTCATTCTTCGTGGCTTCGGCAGCGTGTAAACCATGAGCACCGATAAGGTATATGAGATTAAGGGCATAGAGTTTCCCAAAATTAACTAGAGGGTACTCTAGCGCTGCGATCGTTCAGCGACAATGGGAATGATGGGTAGTACGCACATTTGCCTAGTCTACGTACTTGCGGGCGGCGAATCGTACTTGCGGCTTCGTTTGTTGCTGGTTACGGTTTTGTTTTGGAGAAAAGAACGAACCCAGTTGAGCTTTGTGACCCGATTCGGAATGGTAAGACTAAAAGAATAAGGTTGTGAAGTGCGAATGCTTAACATTTGCAAATTTTCTTCGTGAAAAAAACAACTATAAGCCACACGAACACACACGAAGCCAGAAGCAGGCCAGAAGTACGAAAATTAGACAAATGTGTGTACTACCCATCGTTCCCATGCTCGCTGAAGCGCCGAGCATTGCAGCTCCCATAGACACTAGCGCCAGAGTTTCCTCTAGTGTATATTAGGAGACTCTATGATTAAGGGATGCAACCGCCGTGACTGTCACATCTAGACCCCTACAGATCTTCTATAGGGGTAGCTTTATTTAGGTTTCTTCCAAAAGTGGATCACTTATGTGCCTTGGCTACCGCGTACGCAGTCATCTCATGTCGCTTGGCATTACGCAGGCAGAACAATGTATGGACATGCATAGCACGGACGTGTATGGAGGCACAGACAGCATATGCATGGGCAGTGAGGTGGATGAGCATGGAAAGGAGAAATAAAAGGAGTAAGGGGGTGGCTAAAGCAAAGCGTAGCCATGTGTAGTATTGTATGACAAGAGATTGAAAAAGGAAAGTGAGGGCGAGGAAGCACAAAGGAGGGGGGTAGAGGACACCACTCATGGTGAACCAGTTTGCACCCTTAAGGGTGCCTTCCCTGTCTACCACTATAACGCGTATACGATGAGGGTGTTTTCACAGACCAAAACACCCTTATCGTAAGTTTTAAGGCCTCGATTTTTTTTCGTGGACGCAATACTAACGAACGGACTTACGGTGGCTGTTATCTGATGCCAGGGAACTTACGATGGCTGTTATCAGAAGTCACTGATGTAAATAGGCAGAAAGAAACTGAAACGAAAAGCTGACTTGCCACTGGCCGGTTGCAAACCTGAGACCTTTTCATAAGGTTAGGATCCTGCCGGTGGCAAGTCATCTTTTCGTCCACTTTTCTTTCTACCCATTCGCATTATAGTGACTTCTAAAACTCATACTTTCCCTGGTAGTATTGTCCGCTGGTTATGATTATTACAATCGCACAGTGTTAATTTAGAGGCGGCCAGCACCCTTAAGGGCGTGAACGGCTTTGCAGTAATGTCGAAAGTTGGGTGAGTTGGTGATACTTCATGATTACTTATGAAGCAGCGCACGACGACAGGCACAAAAGGAGCGGTGTCCCTATCGTTCCTTTAGTACCTGTCGTTGTGTGCTGTTTCATAAATAATCAGGATTTGCAGCACTGCATCATAAATTAAGGTTTTCGTTCCCGCCAGAGACGCCGAGTAAGGTGCATGCTTGGAACCAAATGTGCATGTGTCAAACGGAGCCCGTGAACGCTAGCGTTCCTGAAGAGCAGGCGAATGACGGCTTCCCGCCACTTACAGCGTTTGCGTTGAGTGCAACTGCGCACATTTTTTCGAAAGATCCTACTACAAAGGCGCAAAATCCGCAATATTTCCGCAGTTTCACTCACCTTCGCGATAAACGGAGGACTCATCGCACCGGTCCTCAATCTCGCTCTTGATGTCGTCGAGGAAGACATCGCCAATACCCTGGGAGACGCTCTCCGTGCAATGCTTGATGTAGTCGCGGGCGCAGGACTCCGCTTTGTTCTGCGTGCTGCTCGCCGAGGGGAGAAAAAAGCAACATACACGTTTGTCAGAGGGATTCGTGCCACCAGTGCGCATAACATGACAGCAACAACCCATGTCTGATTCAACAAATTGTTACAAGGCATGGAGGGCTTTCTACAAATGCAGACATCTAGTTGTACTTATCAGACGAAACAATCGCTTAGGCGTGGATTGCCTGAGCGAGAATTTTCAGCACACGATGCCTCCACAAACTCTTTTTTATGTATTTTTAGCCTCAAGCTGGCTTTTTCCTTCACTTCTTCTCCATTGTGACGGCGCCCATGGTCCAAACCTTTTTGTTGCGCCCTTTATTGGGGCGTTGAGTGCGTAAGCTAAAACGGGCTTTGTACTGATTTCAGTAACAAGCATATCGGCCGAGGATAGCAATGCTGTATCTAATGCAAAGTAATATCACTGGGACGAAGACTTGCAATGAGGTCAGTGCGACATTTTAGGCTAGTGTAAGTGTGATTCCACTAAGTTTTTTTTTTTTTACGCTGTTTTCTGTGTTTCAAGTTGGAGACGCTAGACAATCATTGTGCAGCTATATTGCAGAAACAAAAAAAAAAGATATTTGTCAATTTCACCAGCCATTTGGCGATTTGGCTTATACACTGAAAAATCGAGCGCTATACTTGAACGAATACAGAAGACAAAGGCGAGATACAGATGGCGCTCGTCTCTGTCGGGCTGTGTGTCCCGTCTTCGTCTAAATCACGTTCAGGCAGGTGACGATTCACCCACCCACAGAAAGACTCGAGTTCCTCAGGAGTGGTCGGAATCTTCTCCGAAGACCCGAAGATGAACAAGTCTGCCGCGCAGGCGTCCAGCTTCTTGGCGTCACAGTCGGGAGCGGCAGATGCAAGACTGGCGAGGCCTGTATGCAGAGAACAGGTCCTTTGAGCTCATTTTGTCTGTGAAATCTCTGGTAGTAGATTTGGCAGTAAATACATTTCTCGCTACTACTCTGGACGTTTTTAAAGTGTCTGGTAACTAGATTACAAAGTGCAGCTGGTGGTCATTGTCACCGCAATAGCTTGTTTTAAAGACCATTTTGTTGCAGTCAAATGCCGAGAAAGACTTGCGAATGATGAAAAAACAAAGAGGACATCCCCAAACAGGCGAGAAGACGCCTTCTTCAGTATCCGGACACGGGCCGCATAAACTCAGCGTGACGTCTCCTAACCATGTCACTAAGTACAGAGGCCGTCGAAAATTCCCTGGCCACGCCGCAATATGAATACGTTGTATTCATATTGGGGGCCTGGGAGCTTTTGAAGTACCCTATACATTTTACTTTCCCCAGAGAAATGAGAAGAGCGCGTTTCTGATTAGCTATGTGAAAAACTAGAGAGACACCACGAAGACATTGCGAGATGTTTACTTTTCCTCTCTTCTCTCACTTACTCACTGTCTTCTCCTCTCTCTATTCGTGTCCGTTAGAGGAAACATGGACCTTATAGAAGAACTGCCAGGGCAAACCTCTAAGATAGCCCGGAAGAGAACTTCGTTGCGTAGCGCTGAAACGAATTTTTCAGTAAATTGCCCGAGTGCGCATAGAACGAAACTACAAGGGTAAAAAAAAAGACGACGAACAAATATTTCCTAGAAGTAAACGTAACAATCAATAAAAAATGTATGTCAACGCGTGGTATGTTCAATGCAAGATCTCATTGATAACGGGACTCCGGAGTTAGCTCCTCCCTTCCGGTCATCTCTTTCCCTCTCTCACGCCCAGCCTATACTTGTTTGCATAACGTATCGCCATCCTGCAAGTTTTGTCATACAATATGGACAATGCGTGTAATTCCTAACTGCGTGCTACTGGTGTCGACGTATGCATTTACCAGAACTCGAAAAAAAAAGACGATCTCAACGCGCAATATGGCTCCACATCAGACGCTGATATCATGATTATCATTATCAGCCAGAATTGGCTTACTTCAGGGCAGAAGCCTCTCCCCGTATTGTGAATAATTCAGGTCCAAGGGCTTGATGTTGTCTTATTATCTCCGCCAGATTTAAAAACTCGTCTGCCCACCAGACTTCATTGCTCACCATCGCGGGCTTTCGTTTTCTTTGAATCCATTGGGTCACTCTTAATGGACAGCAGTTATACGGGAATGCGCGCCCCATTCTTGGCCAAATTATTCTTCGTATGTCTCATTTTTGAAAAAAAAATGATGTGGTGTGGTCAAACCATTATATGTTTTCTTTGTGTCGAATAGCTCGTTTTTGAAGGATTGTCAGCCTACCTAAGTTTGTTTTGCTTGAAGTGCCCCACATTATTAAGCGGTAATATAGCTGACAATGTACCATTGATTAATACAGCCGATATGTTAGCCAAGTCGGGGCCAGTCGCCAAAAAATCCTTTGGTTAGATCTAGAAAAGCTAGAATGTAATTTGTTTACGTAATGAATCCAGTTGGAATATATGAATAATACTCGCAGAAATTTATATACAGATATCCAGTCAATAAAACGAGTGTCAAAAAAGGGAGATATGTAAGCATCATTAGGCTTTATGCTACTATTGAAAACACTGTAATTCGTTTCAGACACATTCAGCGGAGGTTAGTTGAGAGATAACCAAATCAGCAGTTCATGCAACCAATGGTTCGCAGCTGTTTCCAAGTAAGCTAAATTTTCACCATAAAACAAACAAACTAATAGCGTCAGCGCAGAGGACCATGTTAAAGTGGATGCAGTATATTCACAATGCCGTTAATATCAATGTTAAAGAATAGGGGACCATGAATGAATCGCTAAGGCACGCCGTACTTCATTTCCTTCCATTTTGAACACACCCTGTTCTGGCTTACAAATTGAAATTCATCTTAAATATAACTCATTATTAGATTTAGGGCAGCGCTTCTGATTCCGTACAATGGTAGCTTTTGAAATAAATTGTGATGCTTTATTGAATCAAAAGCTTTTCAGAAACCAAGGAGAACACTTACAGTGTATAGCATTTTTTAGACATTGTACAGTATTTTCTCTTTGACAGTCAGCAGTGCCTATTCGGTGCACTTATTCTTGCGAAGACTGCATCATCCTCAGTTTAGGTTGAACACCTCTCAGAAGACTTCAGGTTCCTGGAGCATACGTTAGAACCAATAAAGTGCAGCTGTTATATACCTTAACCTCAAGTGAAAGTGGTAAACTACCGTAGTATCATATGTACTGTTGGTGCCACGCACACATCTTCTATGTCATGATCAGTATGGTAATTGTCACAATGACCATTATATTTGTATCTCTGTATATTACATTACCTACCCCAATTTTCTGGGGTGAAGCTCCAGGGCAACGTAGTAATCATAAGTCCAGAGTAACTCTTCGATGCACTCCTCTTCACTCCCGCCCCTCCGACCTATCACACTATTTAATAACCGTTAGGAACACAAACAGGTCCTTTTTGTTTAGTCTCCTTCAAGCAAGGAAAACTAGCCACGGACACTCATGTTCCACCCCTGTCTTCCTGTACTTTCGCTATCATCCGCATGTTCCGGCGGATGTCGCAAGCATGGGGTCATTTCCTCCTCAGGACGCAATATAGATATCCAATCAGTCACTCAGTTTAACACATCACAAGGAGTCAATTACAGTACCGGACGTAATTTTTGTTCCGCCAGATTTATCACACCATCGACACTGAGATACCGTATAAAAATAGTATTATAACCGTTGAAACCATTTCAAACTACTATAAGCTATTGGAACCCGAACATGACAACGTTTAATGCTAGAAGCTTATCTAGCGAGGCAAGTCTGTCTGTGCTATTCAAAAACTAGAGGGTCGTAAATGGGACGTAACAGGCCTCAGTGCGGTTAGGAAGACAGATGAGGCCTATAGAGTGCTACAAAAAGGGCGCGTTTTTTGCTATCGTGTCTTGGCTGACAAAAGGAAAACTAAGGGTGGGGTTCCTTGTTCACAGAAATGTAGTTGGTAACATAGAGCAATACTAAAAATCATTAGAATAGTGGTAGTTATCGTAAGTAAACTCAACAAGGGATACAAGATCAAGGTGGTACAGGCCTACGCGCCTACATCCAGCCATGATGGCGTATCAGCTTAAGGCTTCTATGAAGACGTGAAATCAGCAATGAGTAAGGAAAAACACGGCATACTATATTGATGGGTGACATCAATGCCAAGGTAGGGAAGCAGCAGGCTTGAGACCATGCAGAATGGAACTATGGCATCTTTACTAGAAATTTCAGAGGCTAGCTATTAGTATAATACACCGAACGCAATAATTTAAGGTTCCTAAATACCACCTACCGCAAATTAACGACCAATATGAACGGTAACTGGACATGAAGGAGCCCTCATGACGAAAGTAAAAATGAAATAGACTTTATACTGAGCGCACACCCGTACATCGTGCAGGTTGTGGAAAATGCTTAGCAAGGTACAATGCAGTGACCATATAATGTTGAGGTTTCTAATCCACTCGAAGTAGGAACAACAGAAACTGTTCCGACAAAAGCAAGTCAAGGACCTGTTTGTGTTCCTAACGGTTATTAAATAGTGTGATAGGTCGGAGGGGCGGGAGTGAAGAGGAGTGCATCGAAGAGTTACTCTGGACTTATGATTACTACGTTGCCCTGGAGCTTCACCCCAGAAAATTGGGGTAGGTAATGTAATATACAGAGATACAAATATAATGGTCATTGTGACAATTACCATACTGATCATGACATAGAAGATGTGTGCGTGGCACCAACACTTAGAGGCAAAGTACAGGAATTCAGAGTCTCACTTCAGAACAGATAGTTGGCTCTTATCGAGGAAACCAGCCTTAGCTTTGACGCAATCAATGATAATCTGACGAGTGTCGTTACGCAGTGAGAAGTGGAAGTTGGAGGTATGGTATTTAGACAGGACACTGGCAAGCTGTTCCAAAAAACGAAGAATCTCATTAAGAAACGTCGAAGCATGAAAGCTTCAAACACGAGAGACAAAATAGAAATGGCAGAGCTTTCTAAGCTTAATAATAGGCGTAAGGTATCCGATATAAGAAGGTATAACATGGAGAGAATTGAACATGCTCGTAAGAACGTAAGAAGTGTCAAAGCGGTGAACCGGAAACTTGGGATATGCGAAAACCAGATGTATGCACTGAGAGACAAGGAAGGCAAAGTAACTACGAATATGGATAGGATAGTAAAGTGGCGTAGTACTTTCACAAAGATCTGTACAGCAGCCGGAACAACCATGACTATAATGCAAGAACTAGCAGTAACCAGGGTGACATCCCACCAGTAATCACAGAAGAAACCAGCAAAGCCTTGAAGGGAATGCAAAGAGGCAAAGCTGCTGTTTAGGATCAAGTAACATCACACCTACTGAAAGATGGAGGACAGATTGTGTTAGAAAAACTTGCCACGGTGTTTACGAAGTGTCTTCTGAAGAGGAGGGCACCAGAATCTTGCAAGAATGCTAACATTATCTTAATCCAGAAGAAAGGAGACGACCAGAAATTGAAGAATTACTGGCCGATGAACTAGCTCCCCATTCTGTATAAGCGATTTACAAAGGTAATTGCTAACAGAATAATACAGCATTAAATTTCCATCAACCAAAGGCTCAAGGAGTATTTCGAACAGGCTACACAGCAATCGACTACATTCATACTTTCAATGAAGTGATAGAGAAATGTTCAGAATGCTTTCAACCACTATAGATAGCATTCATAGATTACGCGAAGGCATTTGATTCAGTAGACATATCAGCAGTTACGCACAAAATGCGCAATAAGGGCGTGGACGAAGCACATTGTTATGAGAAGATGACAGGAAATTTTTGTATTTACAATATTTGCAGTCACAGTAATGCGGATAAAAGCGACCAAGATGGCGACAGCAGGCACCACCTAGTCCTTCACTTCTTCGTCCTCTAGGTAAGCGTCGTCTATTTCTCGGGGCGTCGTCTATTCGCGGGAGAGGACAGACATCTCTCTTGGTAACTTAGTTGAGGTGCCGGTAGTCGACGCATAATGGCCAGGTGTTGTCTTTCTTTTTTACAAGTACCACGGGTGACACCCGAGAGCACGAAGATAACTCGATCATATCCTGAGCGAGCAACCTGTCAACTTCCGTTTGATTGATGCTGCGCTTGGTCGCCGAGATACGGTAAGGGCGTCAATGAATGGGTCCTCCGTCTGTGGTGCCGATTCAATGGGTCACCAGAGATGTTTGGCCAGGTTTGGGTGAATTGAAATCAAAAATGTCGTGGTATAACGCCAACTAAAGGCGTAGGTCCTGGTTATGATAAGAGTCAAGGTCCGGGGCAATCATGCGGTCGAACGCGGAGTGTCGGGCTAGCAGCGTGGCGGCCTGGAGGCGGCTGTGGGGCGTCAATGGCCAGGGCAACGGGGTCGTTTGAGTCTAAAGGTGATACAGTGCCCAGCGCGATACCTTCAGGCAGCAGTTGTGCGGAGCGTTAAATGGTAATGACAGGTTTGCAAATCTCTTTCACAGAAAGAGTCACAAAAGAGTCAGGCAGAGCTACACGTCGCGTCAGAACAGCGTCCAAGGAGGGGGTATTCAAGCAGTCACCATCACGTACCGGCGGGTTTGCGTTAAATGGGGTGTAAGTTGCGGTACCTGGGCGCAAGTGAACAAACTAGACGACACATAAACGTGGTGGTGACGAATGTGAGGTCAGGTGTAGCAGTAAGTTTTTACTGAAACAAACCAGAAAAACAGTCGATGAGGGCAGAATCCGTGCTCAGAAAGTTGTGGCTGAGGATTAGGTCATGGGGGCACTCGTCCAGAACCGCAAAGAGAACTGAAGTCCTGTGGTCATCGAAGCTCACACGCGCTGAACACATTCGAAGGATGGTAGGTGTTCAGCCATCGGCTACGCGAACAGGTGATCCAGTGGGTGTAACTACTTCACGAAGACGGCCAAAAAGATGAGCGCTCATGACTGATAAGTGAGTACCTGTGTCGATGAGCGGTAAAACAGGCGCGTCATATATTTCTACGTCCAAAACGTTTTGTCGAGTTGCCAGAGCTAACAGAGGATTTCCAGGTCGATAGGTCAATGCAGCATCACCTCTGGGAGCTGCACTGGTCAGTTTTTTGAGGAGAAACAGCGTGAGAGAGGCGAAGGGGATTGACGGCACATAAGTCACCAAGAACGTCACTGGGTTGGGGGGACGGCGAGTGGTCATAACGAGGGGTCGATGTTGGGGCTTAAGGGTTCGGTGGATCCTCATGGCCTTGCACAGGAGAGGATCGAGTGTCGTCTGTACGACATGGTGCACGAGGAGACGATGATTGACGATAGCGATAATTGCGAAAAATCGGGCTGATGCCGTTGCAATTTAAGCATATCGGCCGGTCGTCACATTTGCGCCACTGGTTCGGATAACGGTACCTGGAATCAGTCAGTTGTAGCCGGTAGCATTAAACAGGGCTCACCAAGGGACGACTCAGGGCACATACGGGCTGGATACGTGCATTAGCCAGTTCTTCGCGCTTGATGAATGAATGACATTGTCGGGCGGGCCTCCTGGTGAGCACGAGCGTGGGGAGTAGATGGAGTTGCTGCCTCAGTCTCTCGCCACACAAGACACAGGAAGTTATTGGTACTAGGCGGCGGCTGGATCTGGACGTCTTCGCACGACGACGTGGCGTAGTATTAGGGAAACTCGGGCAAACTGCAGCGTGACTCGTCGGCTCTTTTATTCTTCGAACCGTCAGCACTCCCTGATGATGTCGTAAATAGTGGAGCAGTCTTTGAATACAAGCAAGTGAAAGGCGTTGTCAACGATGCCTGCAAGAATGTGACTGACTTTGTTGGCTTCTGGCATTTGGCTATCATTTTGCCGGCATAAGGATAAAACGTCTTGTATATACATCATGTGCGGATTCGCTGAGGTTCGGGCATGGCACGAGAGTTATTTCTGGGTGGCTCGTTGGCGTGTGATGGGCTTTCCGAAAACGTCTTTCATTTTTTGTTTACATGCATCCTGGCTGGCCAGCTACTCTTCGTGCGTGTCGAACCACACATCGCAGTACCCCTGCAGTAGTAGCTAACATTTGCGAGCATCGAAGTCGGATCCCAGCGATTGGTCTTGCTGGCGCGCTCGTAGACGGCCAGCCACTTCTCCACGTGCGCGATATCAATCTCGCAGAAGGGGCCAGGGACTGGGATGTGCGTCACAACAACATGGCTAGGTGCATTCAGCATAGCGGGAGCTGGACTAACGGGACTGCCGGTTGACATGATGGACTGTCCAAGATGAGGCCCACTTCGAAGTTCCGTGATGTGCTCCGGATGTACTTAGCACCTCCATCAAAGATGTCACGGGGAGATGACAGAAAACGGGTGTATTTACAATGTTCACTGTCCGAGTAATGCGGGTAAAAACAACCAAGATGGCGAGAGCAGGCACCACCTAGTCCTTCACTTCGTCCTTTAGGTAAGCGGCACATAACACTATATAAGCATACTGAAAAAATCTACAGAAAATTGATTAGTTGATATGGGGGGGGGGGGGGCTTGAGGTCCCAAAACCACCATAGGGTTATGAGAGACGCCATAGTGACGGGCTCTGGAAATTTCGACCATTGTAAATTTCTTTATCGGGCACCCAAATTTAAGCACACCGGCCTACAGCATTTTGCCTCCATTGAAAATGCAGCCGCCACAGCCAGAATTTGATTCCCCGACCTGTGGGTCAGTGGCCGAGTACTTTAGCCACTAGACCACCGCGGCAGGAAATCTACTGAGGATCAACTGCCAACATAGTGCTCCATAAAAAAGGCAAGAAACTACCGATAAAGACTGCTGCAAGGCAAGGGGATGCGGTCTCCCCAATGCTATTTACCACGTGCTTACAGGAGGTTTCCAGAGGCCTAAAATTGGAAGAGCTAGGGATAAGAGTTAACAGAGAATACCCTAATAACCTGCGCTTCGCCGATGACAATGCATTGTTGGGTAACACAAGGAACAAATGGCAATTTGAGATTGATGAGTTAGACAAGGAAAACAGAAAAGTAGGTCAGAAAATAATATGAACAAAACTAAAGTGTTACAGTCTCGGTAGGAAACAGCACTTTGCAGGAGATGGAGAGGCGCTGGAAGTTGTAAAGGAGTATGTCTACTTAGGACAGGTAGTAACCACGGAGCCCAGCCATGATAGGGAAATAGCTAAAACAATAAGAATGAGTTGCATCACATTTGGCAAGCATTCTCAAATCATGACTGCTAGATCGCCACTATCCTTCAAGAGGGAGGTAAATACCAGCTGCATCTCGCCAGTACTTCATTACGGAGCAGAAACCTGGAGGCCTACAAAGAGGGTTCAGCTGAAATTGAGGATGACTCAGCGAGCGATGGAAAGGAAATTGATAGGTGTAACCTTACGAGACAAGAAGAGAGCATAGTGGGTCAGGGGACAAACCGGGGTTAAGGATATTATTGTGGAAATCAAGAAAAAGCAACGGAAATGGGCCGGGCACGTAGCGCGTAGGAAGGATAACCGCTGGTCATTAAGCGTAACTGACGAGAAGGCCAGCGGGTGAGGGGGAGACGGAAGGCTAGATGGGCAGATGAGATTAGGAAGTTTGCGAGTATAAAGTGGCAGCAGCAAGCAGAGGACCGAGTTGACTGGTGGAACGTGGGAGAGGCCTTTGTCCTGCAGGGGGCGTAGTCCGGCTGATGACGATGATGATAAACTATTAATTGGACTATAAATATAAAAGCCGATCTCATCGAGGCAGTTAGTCTGAACAAAGAAAAAAAAAGCTCGACGGTGTTACCGTAGCACACACCTGTAAAACATTCAGCAGTGGAGTTAAGCGAGGCTCGTACGAGGCACAATTCCATTCATTTGGCGGGGTTTGGGAAGATAAAGTGGGCTGGAGTGGAATAAAGTTCCTTTACGCACCTACAAGCATGAGACAATAGCCAATCCGAGACATGACTGCAGTGAAGAAGTACGCAGCTGCGTCCCTTTTGAAGCACCACGTAATAAGTGAAAGCACCTGTGAGGATCTGGAGTACTTCAAAGGTCCTCGTCGACCCGCGTTCTTTTTATAGGAATTCACAGTCCAGTGGCGAGGGCCACTTTGTCACGGCTGTCTCGGAAGGGCGGAGAGATGGTGAAGGTGTTACGAGAGGAAGGAGAAAGTCCGGTGAGAGGGTGAGAGAACGTTGAAGGTGAAAGCCATTGCCACTGAAACCTGACTCCTCGCGAGCGGCAAATGCCCTTGCCTGGAAGCGTCGCAACATCTTACGCGGCGTTGGCACACACAATCGGTCGGCAAGGTCTCCTCGGGTGTGCTGTACGAAGTACGCCAAATTACAATCTCCCAGCGCACATCGGCTTGATGTCGTCGAATCGCGGCGTGCTTCTGAGTCGCTCGTATTGTGTCAATTAGGCGTACTCAACTCCGTGCCTGCGGACATGACCGCCTGTTCGTCCTACCAACGTTATGCTTATTATTAGGTCCCCTGTTCTACTGGTTGTTCAGGCTAGCCGCTGCGTTGTATAGTGGTTATGATACTCGGCTGCTGACACGACGGTTAATCGTTCGGTCCCGGGCCCAGTGATCGCATTTCTACGGAGGCGAAATACCAGAGGTTTCCGCACTTATATTTATGTACACGGTATTTAATCTAAGTGGTATAAATTTGCATACCCTACGCTGCAGCATGCCTCTTGACAACAGCGTATTTTGTGCACTTAAAACCACAATATAATAATAATAATAATAATAATAATAATAATAATAATAATAATATAATCACAATACCAATAATAATATTATAGTAGTAGTAGTAGTAGTAGTAGTAGTAGTAGTAGTAGTAGTAGTAGTAGTAGTAGTAGCAGCAGCAGCAGTATTATTAGTAATAGCAGTAGTAGCATAGTACACTGTAGCCTTGCGGCTATAATGTTTCTCTGCTGAGCCCGAAAGCGCTGCTTTGATTCCTGGCCAGTGCGGCAGTATCTCAATGGAGGTGCAGGGCATGAAAAAAAAATGTCTACCTTTAGTGCCGGGCTAAAAAACACAGGGAATCGAAACTAATCTGACAGCTCTTACTATTGTGCAACTCGTAATCATATTTCGGGGCTGGCCCAAATAATACCACAAAAAAGTTGAACACTGTCTGAACTTCTGGGCCCGTAGACACATGATCACTAAGTTCCAAGTTCCAGCACGTAGCGACGCCAGCACAGGGAAAGAAACATAAAAGAAAAACGCAGACCCGACCAGTCTTTCTCTTTGTACACTGATATTTTTTTTCTGGTTTGCAATTTTGAATCTATTTTGTTCTGGTGCTCGCAGAAAACAGACCTTACACCTAAAATTACACACAAGCTCTGACGTTCGTTTGATAAGTAAGCGTATTTGTTATCAGTAAGTGTAGTTGTTACTTGAAACGTGTTAATGACGAGCGTTACTACCAAAGCTCCAAAACTGTACCAGTACGCTATTTTATATGACTTTGGAGTCTTCGTGCATCTAATGACAAGTGCTACAAATACTAAAGTCCAACAAAAAGTTCAAGCTATACTAAATCTGGTTTTCTTTTTGTTTATTTTAACTTATTGCTTCTGTGACGAGCAGTATCATGAATGTAGTGCAGTGGGACACAAATCATAGAAAATACAACATAATGGCAAACAAAATATGCGCATATGTACACGCAGAGGTTACAAAACATCAAGGGGTATGTATGGAACCATTGATATCTTATATTCCATAAATTTTAGCGGTGTCATTTTCGTCAGTCCACGAGGTGAAGGAATTTTCCCAAACAACATGCCAAAATATAGCACGTTAAAACAATGAAAAATGATTGCTCGGAGAAAGGGAGAAAGTGGCCGGCACGACGCCATATTTCCTGGTGGATGTGAACCAGGAGTTCAGTCAACAACAATATTTAACCATTCGGACATGCTATAAGCTCAACCTAGAACAAGTAGGAGAGGATGGGTGAAATTTCGCCCAGTATATAGTTTTCCGAAGTTGGCGTTACCCTCACCACCTCAAAGAGCTTTTGGAAGAAAGCTTTAGCTATTGGTTCGACATCGATTGTCAGCTAAAACTGGTCGTGAAGGTTCGGTACGCTAACCGAACTCAGGGTGTCCTGGATTGACGGCGCCTATGCCTGATACATCCTCTAAATGAAGCTGTTTATTGTTCAACGGCACTAATACAGAGAAGGACACAGAGCAAGTGAAAGACGTACAGTATAAGTGTGCAGACATGGTGCTCTTCTGCTATATTTTTATTTCTTTCATTTTTTTCTTTCTAATAAAAAGAAAATGTAAAAAGGAAGAGGAAGGCATTGCTTCAAACGCCAGCCCAGAAACGGAAATTGAGGATCTTTAATTTATTATATCTCTTTTAAGCGTCGTCTGCGGGTGAGGGGAGCTTTTTTTGGAACAAATTTAATGGTCAGTGAATACACACTTCGTTTGAATATGAAACACGCATCTCCAAATCGGGCTGTAACTGCGTCGTTATGCTTGAGAATCCATCTCCCTATCAGAGTTTGTAATATTTTAGCACTTGGAACTTCAACCCTCCCTCAGCTATAGCTTCAACCTTACACCTTCTATAGTGTAAGTTCTTTTTTTCTTTTTGCCACCCTCCCTGAGGACGTTTGCCCGCATCAGCATTGACTTAAACGCTCTGTTACGAACGTCACTAGACTTAGGCGTTTTGGTACACTAAAGCTATTCGGATTTATGGCACGAATGAGCAGTGATCAGCTTAGCCAAATTCTCATAATCTACTATGGCCAAACTACAGTCACCCTCTCTCCTCCCCTAAACGAAAAGAAAAAGATCATGTAAGAAACGCTCTAGTAAGGCACCTTTGTAAAGAATGACTTACCAATCGTTCAAACAGATGCCAAGCGTTGAACGAACAAAAAAACTATTCGTTCCGCCTCACATCACACATCGCGTAAGGTGACAATTCCGTTACCTATAGCAATGCAGATCAGTGATTCTTCTTTAAGAAGATGGAAGTATAGCGTGTTATCCACATACGTAGTTCAGTTAAACATCGTTCAGGAGACGTTCCCCAATAATGCCGTAGTTGCGCAATTCTAAGCAGCACCTTCTTTTGGTATGTAACCTTCAAATGTGTGTGCGCGTCAGAATCAGGCTTGAACGTGAAGTCAGTGTCAAGTTTCTTTGGTTTTTTTTTGTTTTTTTTTTTCATTTTTCGTATAGTGCAAGATTTCCCGCGCGTTAAAATATAAGCCGGGGGGGGGGGGGGGTTGGGAGGTAGAGTGATGAAAGTATGGTACTTTCCCATGGGCAACTGTACAAAATGTACTGGCCTACAACCAACTAGTGTGACGGAAGCATAGCTTACGGTTTCTAGGGAATCACCGATGTAGAGATACGGTGTTCACGAAGCGATGTAATCTCTTTCTTGACTTTGCCTGAGTGACCTTGCAAAGGAACTCGCTGAGCTCAGCGCGACCGTCGGTGCAGGCAGCTGCCTCCCGACTATGACTCAACTGAAGCGATGCCAATATGCTCGCCTGCACTTACCTAAGTCTTGGTTTCACACCAAGCAACGAGTACGTTACCTGGCACGCAGAGTGCCACGATTTCGACTGCTGCTAAATGTACAAGACACTGCAATGGCTGTTTTGAGAGAGCCCCCCAGTCCGTGTCAGAAAGGACGTCGCTGGGTCTTGTGTTGGCGGGCATTAGATGGGGATCACTGTTTTTATGGTTCAGCAATGATCATAATGATGTCTGTGGTTTATGCATCGAAACCATGCATGATGATGAGAGACGCCGTAGTGGAGGACTCTTGAAGTTTTGAACATCTGGTGTTCTGACATCGCAAAGTACATGGGGCTCTACCTTTTTGCCTCCACGGAAATGCGAACGCCGCAGCCGGGTTTGAAATCACGACTTTCGGGTCAAGAACCATTTGATAATATATTGGCTTACTGGCACTGTGAGAGTGGTAGTAGCGAGCGATTGGCCTTACAACTGCTGTTGTTGAGCATTTAAAGAGTAGCGCGCGAGATTCGAGACATTAGAGAAAACGCTGTGTTACTTAGTTTTTGTAAACTATCAGTAGACAAATGCTTACGGGGCAGTAAAAACGTTGGCTCTAGAACCTCTGTGAACTGTTTTCGCCTGTATGATACCTTTTACAACCATCTATTTAATAATTATAACTTAGGTGCATAATGTATGCTAGAGCTGCAGCTTTGTGAAAAAGCGTAAATTATGACACAGCGTAGTGACAATTCCGCAATGCACAAGCGTCGTGCATCAACGGCATCGCATCAACGTCATGTATACAGAAACTCCAATCTGAAGCTTTTTTTATTTCCGCTCATCGCATATTCCTCACGGAGAGAGAGAGAAACAACATTTATTAAGAGTCCGGCGATGACTAATCGGGGTGGGCTTGAACCCCGGCTTAGGCATCGGCCGCAAGCCCTTGGGCTCAGGCACCTTCCTCGGGTCGCTGGATGGCCAGTTCCTCACGAAGCAAGGAATTTTTTTATTGCATTGATTGATCAATTCACTGATTGATTGGTTGAGTGGCTGGTGTAATGATTGCTTTTTTGCTGACTGACTGATAAAGGATGTCATCTGACTGACTGATTGATTAGTTAATGGACTGCTAGATTGTTTGATTGATTGATTGATTGATTGATTGATTGATTGATTGATTGATTGATTGATTGATTGATTGATTGATTGATTGGTAAATTGATGTATTGCTCGACTGAGCACGTTTTGTTGTCATCCTTACCAATTTCAGACCTGATGCTTTTTTTCCTCCTTTTCACAGTGGCAAGTCAGTGCATGAAAGCTCAGGCTGATCTCTGTGCGTTTAAGTAATGACCTTTGCCTGGCAACGTCGGCTCAGGATCGAACAAATTTCATTTAAAGCTTTATTATTCACCTATTTGCCGTCTTGTATGTTTGAATTTTCGTCGCATGGTCTGAGCAACAATGGATGTTGCCCAGATCGGTATGGGTGTTGCGTGCTATGGTACTATATA